GCCTATTGTTTTAGGCAGCAAGACCGACATCTTAAAAAACCGCCACATTGGAGCATCTGAAACTTTTGCTGCTCACATGAATGCCATGTTTTGTGATAGAGCCTGCTGAAATTCCTGCTAACATTCCTTCTTTGCAAGTTAACATTTAAAGGTTCAATCAAAGCAGTGAAAAATATTCAGAATGTCAAAACAGAAGAAAAATGTTGGATAACAGCTTTAAAAACTGAAAAATTCAATTCAATTTCCACAATTATTGACTTGCGGAATTGCTTCTTCGGTTGTTTCCATTCATATTTTTGCTTAACAGTTGTACTTTTATCAATTCAATTCGTGATTTCCTAAACAAAGCTACAAAAGCACAAAATACGGCTAACAATCATGTGGAGCTGCTTATTCATAGCACATTTTTCTTGTATCAGAGACAGAACATCTATCTTGTGCAACTCATCTTCCCAGATGTGATACAGCATCAATAGGGCACAAAGTCATTATAACATTTCACTGCACAGCAGATGAACCCTGAGTGCTTCAACTGTATCTTTGCATTCTTTGGACGGATGCATTATGATCTTACAATCTCATAGAATAGCTCAAATGAACACAAGGCTCGTGCATTCCTGGATGCAGTGATACGTACTGTGAGCACATCGGCTTTGAATTTCCCTCCAATGCTTGCTCACTACTATTCTTTCACCCATTCATTTCCTTTTCTTCAGCTTGAGTCATTTATATGTTTATTCATTTGCTTGAGCTTGTATCTTTACAGGGGCTGATGACTTTCCTCACAGTTCCTTAGCTGTTACCTGAAGCAAGTGTTGCATATGCATGAGTTCGGCATTATAAACTGCTGCTCTCAGCGCTTAAGTCGGAACTCGGCACAACTCAGCAGAAGGAGTGGGAAGGATTTGAAAGAGAAGAAGGCTTGAAAGGGAGCCAGTTTGACTTGTTTACCTATTCATGTTGCCTTTAAAGAGAGATTAGCTGGTGGTTTTTAGCTCAAACTAGCATGCTAGCCCGTGCGCTTCGCTCAACTGCTCTGATTTTATCTTTTGAATTCATGTGCACTGTAATTTGTGAGCTTGAGTAAGTGTACGTAAGTGCTTTCATAAGTGTGTGTCCATATCATTTTGCCGGAAGTCCTGGATTGTTGCCAGGCAACTGTGGAAGGCAGCTCAGCACTTGGCTGGGCAGCAGACGCTTCCACATGGCCATGATTCTGATAAGGGCCACGGGTCAGCGCTGATACGTGACCGGGTCAAAGTCTTGTCAAGCTAAGAGCCAGACACTTGCCGGGATGATCTAAGGATGAGTCATATCATCTTGTTAGTAATATCTTAATTACTTGTTGTAATCCCTTTAAGGTAATATCTCAGTAATGGCACATTGAAGGAAGAGTTTGATATGAAGTCATCTGCCCAACACTAAATTCAGCTGTTTTTGCTTATTAAGTAACCCTAAAATCTGTATGCAACAATTTCATCATTCTTTTTTAAATGATCATTATGGTGTTAAAGGGCCACGATGTTGTCCCCTCACTTCCTGTTCACAAAATATTGGTGCAAGCTTTGAACTTATGAGACCTTCACAAATGTTTTAAATGTACGTGTGAATTCATGAAAATATGATTCACTGGTGTGGGAAATAGATCAATCTGCTGTTACTCTGATATGGTTTACCAAAGAGAGTGAGGGAAAAGTTTTGTGTCCGTTGACTGCTCTGAAAAGGCTTGTTTGACAGGTAATCATCATCACCATCACCACTGCAGCTGTCACCAATAAAACTTCATTAGCTGCTCCACTCACTCAAACATGTCAATTTCCACTATGCTTTAACTGTGGTCCTGCTCTTTATTGTAATCCCTTTAGAATTAAGTCACTTAGGCCACATGTGGTCTTTACTTGTGTGATCTTTCATTTTGATAAATACAAAACATTCTGAGATAGATCTGCTTTATAACCCAAAAAGAATAGTATTTGTTTTGACATCATATATGTGCAGACTGAGCTTATGCCTGTTGCAGTTATTCTTATTTCTTTTCCAAAGCCCTTATGGTTCACAACATGACCAGCATTTTAGAGCTTTAGCAGGGTATCCTGACACAAATTCCATATAGCAACACAGAGACACACAATGTTATCTCTGTGAATGGTGAGCTATTACTGCTGTGCCAAAGCATTAAAGTTGAAGCACTCGAAGATCCCCCAAAACAAATAAAGCCACTATTGAAAGATATTAACTGTCTTGGCAAGACTTGTCAGTATGTCTGAATTGTTTGTGCATATTTCCGAATATCTTCAGAGATGAATATTACATCAGGATATCTTATTCATTATTGGGAATATACGCTGACATAATTACAATGAAATCCCCTAAACATCTTTTTTGACATGTAGTTTTTTTATGCCTCCATCTGCTGCTACCCGTCATGGTTTTACGTTCAAGTTGCTTTAAATTTGCAGGCTTCCTTTTTGTAATGGCAGATTTCAGCTCCCTCCAAAGGCTTTTAAAGGGAATTAGGTCAGGACGCATTGCTTTGCAGTTTGAAGCAGTCCCTCTCCTTTTCAGTCTTTCTTTTATGCTGTTGGATGTCTGCTTTCTGATGCTCTCAGACAGCAACCCTCTCTTCATCTGCCCTCTTTTCTTGAGTCTAACCATCATCTATTGGTTCATTTATATTTTGTAAATACAGAAACATTTAGTGCAGGTGACTTAATAGTTTTTGTTAGTGTTTTTTAATTACCTTTTTATACACTGAATCCATAATTCAAATGTTTTTAAATGCGAAGTGAAGTGAAAACGAAGTGAAACGATACGCCAAGACAAAAGTTAGCGTTAAACTAATTGGCCAGTCTTTGGCCAACACGCCTACTGCACACACTCACATAGTTGTATCGGTGCAGATTCCCCTCAGCCGCCTGCTGGATTTGGACACACTTGGATGCATGCATTTTTGGCATTAGAGTGATATAAAAAAGTTGTTAGCAACGTCGCCTCACAGTGAGAGAGTTCCCCGGGGGGACTGGGAGCCCTTCTGGGGGCCATTCTGTGTGTTTCTGCATTTTCTCTATGGGTACTCTGGCTTCCTCCTACAGTCTAAAAACATGCATGTTTGGTTAATTGATGATTCTAAATTGCCTTTAGGAGGGAATGTCAGTGTGTGTGGTTGTTTGTCTCTGTGATGGACATGGTCAGGGTGTACCCTGCCTCTCGCCCAATGACAGTTAGGCACACGCACAACCCTACGAGGAATATGTGGTATAGAAAATGGATGTAGTATGGACGGTGTGCTTAGGTTCAGTTCACAAAAGATGATGAAGGCCTTAATAAACTTGTTTCAGCAATCTCTTACAACCCCATTTGTATCATCTATAACAGTGGACTGTATATTATAAAGTAGCTAAAGCAGACATTACTGTTGCTTTGGAAACAGTTCACTCGTAAATCATTGATTATCAACAGCAAAGTCATTCTGGTCCATAACAATTTTCCACAATAAAAAAAATCAGCCCTTTCATTGTCCTCAATGATGTAACAGAGAGCACGATTAACCAGTTTTTTTCCTTCCTTTTTAAAACTTTAAATGCGCCTCGACACCAACCTAAGCTTTTTTTTAACCGGATTATTTACAAAGTTAGAGTCGAGTTCAGCACAGATGCTGATGCATAATGCATCCCGACCTGCATCACCGTGTAACTTGGAGGGAAACCACTTCTTACAGGTCATTTCCTGTTCAAATTAAGGTTTTATAAATGCTGACTTGTGCAGGTCTTTTTTTTTCCTGAAGTCTTGCCTTAGATTAAAAATGATCATAGGCCTCTTTCATTAATGACATTCCCATTTTATGACCAGGTTTTCGCTGGGTCAGCAGTCAAAGCTTTGCAGGCAGCTTCTGTTTTTGTATATTCAACATTCTTTCCCCTTTCATTTCATTAAGTTTGCTGGATTTGTGGCATTAACTAGATTGTCATGTCAAATATGTCAAATGAAATAGTTATTAAGAAGTGTTTTTCTGTTTTTTGGGGGGGATGGGTTGTTTTTCTTAAAACGCTTTTAACATTGATATCTCAAAGCTCCTGCTGTAACTTGATCAGAGTTGGAAAGAAGCCATAACCAGGCTCATACGCCAGGATACTGGCTAATGTAGACAGAGGTTTTTGATTACCTCACTCCAAGTCAAACGCAATCACGATAAGACAGTTTTGTTTCCAGTTGTTGTCTTAGTGTTTTTATTGCTCTAGCCACTAATATCAGCCAGGGGAGCATTAGGGAAATACAGTCAGTCACAGGAAGTGCCACACTAAATAGTTCTTGTCAGCGTGGCCAGAATGAAAATAAAAAAAAATCAGGGGAGGAGATGGCCAAATCAAAGATGGGTGAATATAATGGAACAATTTTCTTTGTCATCACATCTTCCACTCCTACAGCCAGGGCTCTGAGGAGTAAGCAATTTACTGGAGTCATTTTACATGCTTCCGGGGTAATAGACTCATCCAAAGAGCGATGAAATTTAAAAAGCCATAGTTGTTGCAGGGTGAAATAGCTTGGTGGGGCTTTGAACACGTGTAAAGTACTGTAATTTATTCTTGTAAGAACAAAGCAATGTGTTTGTGAGTCCGCGCAACATTTTGTTCGGTTTATTTTATCTTGTTGTGGGTGTGCACCTGCTGTGTAAATGTGTGTCCAGGAAGTAGGTGAAACATGCCTTCTGTTGCACTCCTCCTCTCCCAGCTGACAAGTTCCCTCAACTGCCTTGTATTCTCTGCGTGGGCATTAAAAGTTAGTCATTTGGCGAGGTTTCCGTGTGAAATTTGCCCAGACTTGCTGCGAGGTAGAAGCCGAGGAACTCGAAGAGAAAGTTCCACCTCTGTTTGCGTTGGATCAATTTTAAAAAGCAGCAAAAAAAAAAAAAAACGTGTGCCCTTTCGTTTTTCTGACACACGCCTTCACTCACACGCAATCTTGGCGTCTTCGATTTCTCTGTCCTAATTTAACTTGTAGGGTTTCTGAGCACGGGGGACCAGTCCGCTAAGGGGAACTATGGCTTGTTGGACCAGATCCAGGCCCTGCGTTGGCTCAATGAGAACATTGGCCACTTTGGAGGAGACCCAGAGAGGATCACCATCTTTGGCTCTGGAGCTGGGGCAGCATGTGTGAACCTTCTCATCCTCTCCCACCACTCTGAGGGTAAGGCTCTTTTAGTATCACTCCCACATAGGCTGTCAAAGGAGATTAAAGTTTCAGGACAATGTCGGCAATGTGTTCCTTTCAGAAAACAGACTGAAGCAGATTAAAATGTTTGGAACTATTACTTCCCCAACATCCATCGATCAGTTGCCTTCCATTTATTGCATTACAGGATTTAGTTTTTCAGTCGACACTATATAGACAGAAAGAGTCAACAGATGGGTGAAGATTGTTTTTGCCCATACTCACCATTAATCACAAAGTCATGTAATCATTTCAAATAACATCCCTCCACGTGAGACTTATATCCATGAATCCCGATGAGATTGGGCCTCTTCAGGAAAACTAATCCTGAATGGACAATACATTTGAAAAATGAAGAATACCGTGAGCACTTCTAAAGTTATTACCTTACATTATTGGATCATATTCCGTCTGATATGTGGCGTTAAGATTTAAATTACCCTTTTAACAGATGAAAAGTTCAAATTGGCGGCCACGAGATGACTGAATCACATGTCTGAAGCTTTTCAGTCGCAGGCGTCCGCCGCTGCTGCAGAATTAGAGTTGAAGGGTCTCTTTTTTTCACTTTATTATGAATAGAACATTATCACAAGGCTCTGAAAAGAGGTAGCAGAAACATAGAAGACAGCCTTTACAAGGATTGATTTAGTAATCCAATAAACTATTTGTCTTCATCACAAGACGTGCAAAATTCTGACTGCTGTTAAGTGATTTGAATGTTTATTATATTGTTTTATAGATGTAATATCTATACGTATTATTCACTATGTCAGAAGTGCAGCTCTTATGTTTCGTTTTATGTAAAAGGTTGAAGCTACTATGCATTAATTACACCAGAGCACGTATGGGATCATTATGATGGACAGGTTTGATCCTCATCACACTGTTGGTTGTTCACAAAGCTAATGGTTGATTATATTACCTATTTAAATCAATCTTACTGACATACTACTAAATTGCTTTGAAAAAAAGAACAAAAAAAACTTTTCCCAACCACAACATATCATGAAGTAAAATATCCCAGCATTCACTTGTTGATTATTTAAAGTGTTGGCCATCCTTGGAGTAAGGTTCTCAAGATAACTTTCTCATGCAGTTTGAAAATTGTACGCGTTTTGCTGGCTGCATGGCCTTGGTACTATGGCCTTGGTTTAATTATTTCACTATTTCCCTATTTTCATTTCAACAAAGACATTTCTCAAGGTATACTAACTACATTGAATGACATCCATGTTCAACGCAGTGTGTGTGTGTTTTTACAAACGTTACACATCTAATTCATTGTTAGAACTCAAACTCTCACTTCTTTAACATGAATCATGGCTGAAGAGATGAGGCTCCTTAAAACATAACGCACCATGTTCCATCTCCATTTAAACCTTATAAAGTTGAGATCTGAGAATGACAGACATGATAAACTACTCTTCTTTGACAGATTCTGGCAAATTTGACCCCTCACCTTTCCCGTGGCCTGAAAGAAGAGCTGAAACTGGGTTTTCTTCTTAGATATTAATCTGTTTGACAACACACATAACCACAATGGTTTTAACCAAAGCTCTTGAACTCTTACCCCTCACTTGGAGATCCAGTCATGCTCATTGCAGTGGATATGCCCTTTGGCTAACTTTTTTCTCTTGATCTCGTTGCTTTATGCACTGTTGTTTATTTGAAGAAAAAAATTCTCCTCCAAAGCTAAACCGTTTAGTGGTTTTAGCTTCTTCTGAGTGTAAAATCTAAACTTATTGCGTGACACTTCACATTGCACCAGCACACTCTAAAACACCCACCAGATGTTGGACGTTTAATCCCCTGATGTTCTAGTGGTTTGTGTAGTTGGGAGGGAATAGTTTGAAATTTACCAAGAACTCAGATTATTTTATTACTAAACTGTTAACCTTCACACCAAAAGATCGTCCTAGGCCAGATTAAAAAGAGAGGAACAATCATTTCTGCCAAAAGAAGCCAATCCTCTGTGTCATCATTCGGAAAACACTCATAAACAATCGGAAAAACATTTGACTGATTTAGTTGTAAGCTCTTAGTGCCTGTGATGTTGCCTATGTCTGCCATCAGAGCTGCGTGCTCTCGAAATTTTTAGAACAGAAATATTATGTAGTATATCATAACTGATTAGGCTTTTCTCTCCTTATTTGATATTAATTCAAAATTACTGCAAAAACTCGATTCAAGTTTAATTGTGTTGGTAAAGATCATGGTCGTCATGCAAATCTTCACAGCTTGTGCGTCAGGAATTAAATGAAAGGGTTTGCCTTGCACACATTTGCGCGACTGCTTTTTGAATTCAGGCTGTGGCACCACAAAGTACGGCAAAAGTCGGAGGCTGAGCACTTCTTAAAGGTGCCGTGTGTGTTTGCAGAGGAGAGACGAGGCGAGGAGCAGAGCCGGAGCTGCAGCTGAGAGGCTTCTTAATTGATTTCACAGGGAGAGGAGCGGGGGTGGGGCACTCGCAGAATATGGGGGGGCTTAATTATTAATGACAGAATCTGCAGATAAAACAGAGGGACAGCAAGCCACTTTACATAACAGTGCAGGGGTGCAACAGTGCGAGCAGTTTTTCTTTCTGTCTTTCCCACTTCACCCAGCAAACCTGCTGTTTAGCGCAGTCATCCCCGCTCGTCCCGCCGCCGCCTGTCACCGTTCACAGTAGAAAAAAACACATATTCCTACACGAATGTTCATAAATGTTTTTGCCCGCTGATTGAAGCCGCAAAACCGTTTTCTTCGTCTTTCTCCGTACATTGTACTCCTCGGTTTCTCCTCCTCGAATATGTGCATTATTTAAAGCACTCACACTGTAAGGCCTTCGGGGCCCCATCAGTTGCAAGCCAAAGTGTGTCAGGAGAAAAAAAAAAAGAAAAAGAAGCTCGCAGAGTAAAGCTTGTGCTGTATTTCAATATGCGGTGATGTCTTGTGTAGGCCTCTTCCAGAGGGCCATCGCGCAGAGTGGTTCGGCCATCTCCAGCTGGTCGGTCAACTACCGACCTATTATGTACACTAAGATCCTCGCAAAGAAGGTGGGCTGCACTCTCGGAGACATGGCTGAGTTGGTGGACTGCCTGCGAAGGAAGAGTTTTCGGGAGCTAGTGGATCAAGACATCCAGCCTGCGCGCTACCACATCGCCTTTGGGCCGGTGGTCGATGGAGACGTCGTGCCAGACGACCCCGAGATCCTCATGCAGCAGGTATGGAGGGCTATCACGGCGAATGAATCTGTTTTCTTACAACCGAGGTGCGAGTACCGGTCCAGTATTAACAGCCATTTTCTGTTCTCGTGTCCTACCACGTGTTTCGTAGGGCGAATTTCTCAACTACGACTTACTGCTAGGTGTCAACCAGGGAGAGGGCCTGAAGTTTGTGGATGACAGCGAAGGAGAAGACGGAATATCGGCTGCCTCCTTCGACTACACCATCTCAAACTTTGTGGATAATCTGTATGGATACCCAGATGGTCAGATCCTGCCCTCTTTTTTTACCTAGAAATTATTCACCGACGCAAAAGCTGAAATCTGTGGCCCTTTCGTGTTTTTCTTCTACAGAACAAATAAAGATGATGTTTAACTTTTCATAAGCAGGGTGGAGGTGAGGATCAGGGGTAGAAAACATATGTAGATACATATTCGTTTACAGTAGAAGGATTAAATTAACTATGTTGATGGAGGTAAGCGTGCTCAACAATTTTGATGACAAGGACTAGCTTCTTGAATAGCTTGTATTTGCAGGATTCTGACTCGATTAACGTTCAATGAAAGGTTTAATAGCTAAGCTAGCCTGCTGATGCCTTTGCTTGCCTCCATTCTTGACCTTTCCACAGACATCAACATTTATTCCCTCTAAATCAGTGAGAAAGGAAAAACTTGATTGACTACTACTCATATGTGCCATACATTCAGAATACTTAAATGCCAGCCTGATTTCTATCCAATTGCATATCAACCTTGGTCTATGTCCCTGTATGTATACTCATATTGCTTTCCGTTTTTTCCAAGGTAAAGATATCCTGAGAGAAACCATCAAATTCATGTACACGGACTGGGCTGACAGAGACAACAGTGACATGCGTAGAAAGACCCTCCTGGCCCTGTTCACCGACCACCAGTGGGTGGCCCCGGCTGTTGCCACTGCTAAGCTGCACGCTGAGTTCCAGTCTCCCGTCTACTTCTACACCTTCCACCACCACTGTCAGACCGAGGCGAGGCCAGAGTGGGCAGATGCTGCCCATGGAGATGAGATCCCCTATGTGTTTGGGATTCCCATGGTGGGAGCCACTGACCTGTTCCCCTGTAACTTTTCCAAGAATGATGTAATGCTCAGCGCTGTAGTGATGACATACTGGACCAACTTTGCAAAGACAGGGTAAGAAAAAAACCAAGCATAATGACATTTGAACTGATATTTACTGCATGCTGCATTACGCAATAGTCTGCGGTCCCATAAAAACTCTTAAGCCCACTGTGAAAAGTTCTTATCTGTCTCCCACATTTAACAGTAAAAATCTGATGTATGAAAAATTTTTCTCTAAGAATATATTTCCACCAGGAACAGTTAGACCGTAGAGACTAGGCTGTAGCACCATGTCTGGGTTTTTTTCTGACTTGGGTTAAGTGATACAGACTACAGACCTGCTGTTGTATTTTTTGGAGCTTTCCTCTTTTAACCACAGTCAGTTCTGGAGAATTTGAAGGTTTCTACTTTGTCTGGGTCACGCAAGTACAAGTTAATGCATAAGTAAAGTTTTATAGTGACTTAATCAGTTTTATAATGATAAATTATTAAATATATGGATAGCAGTTAACAGGATGAGCAACAAAAGGATGTAAAAGTAAGCGGTGCAGAAGAGACACAGCTGATGGAACAAGGATACCAAGTTTGTTTTAGAAACTGGTCTGTAACTAGATAGGGGTGGCAAAGTTTGCCAGGAATGAATATGCACAGAGTTTACACAATATGCAAAAGCCTGAACCTAACAGAATAATCTTCTCAGAAAAGATCGTCACAACATTTTATATTCCATCATCTACAGAATAACATAGAAACAATCATCTCAGAAACATCTCAGGAGCTGTGAAAGCTCAATCGCTGTAATTACACGCGTAATGTTGGAAGACAGACTTCATCGATTAAGTAAAACGTGATCCGAATGATTGGAGAAAGCTGCTGGATCGCATCCTTTGCAGACAAAGCTTGATGACTCTTTCCCAGAATGTAGAGACCGTTGAAATTCCGAGCACTTCGTTGGATATGCATGTGCACCGCCTTATACACGCAGTTATCCAATCAGCACGTGGCAGCAGCCGAGTGAATAAAACCATCCATATACATGTTCATGGTCGGGACCTTCAGTTGATATCCTCGTCAAAAGTAGCCTTTCATATCCAAAACTGCACTGTGTGGCGCAGGGCAACTGAAAACTTATGGGTTGTTCGTGTTTCTATAAACCAGTCAGTGATGTTATGCCGGGCTCAAGACTGACTTTTTCCTTTTTTTATTTCCAAATGCAGCTCTGATGTTCCGAACTGAAAATTTTAGGAGCAGCACATAAATTTACATGAAATGCAGCACAGTCATTTCATCCATCTTTACTGCAGTGCTGAAAAATACTTTGGTCATAAATAGGTCATTTGCAGAAATGCCAATTTCTGGATTTATTTCAAGTAAAAGTCGTACATTGGAAAAGAAGTAAGAAAGTTTTTGAAGACACCAAACAACATCTTTGTATCTTTATCACTTTGAAGTAACACAACCCATTGTTACACATGCTCATATGACTCCTGGCTGCAAATATTCATTCCAGTTGTCTCTCTTTTTTCCAGGGACCCTAATGAACCGGTTCCTCAGGACACCACATTTATCCACACCAAGCCTAACCGTTTCGAAGAGGTCATCTGGACAAAATTCATGTCCAAAGACAAGCAGTACTTGCACATTGGCCTCAAGCCTCGCGTCAGAGATAACTACCGTGCCAACAAGGTGGCCTTTTGGCTGGAGCTCGTGCCGCACCTCTACAACTTGCACGAAGAAATCATCAGCTCCATCACCACTCGCCTGCCGCCCGGCGGCACCAGCCGTCGGAAGCCTCTGCCCCCCGGCACCCGCTCCACCCGCCACCCGGTCATCTCCACCTACCCCCCGGATCCCGAGCCCGACGGTTCCGACCGGCCCAGCTACCCTCCCTTCCCCAGCAAGACGCGGGACTACTCCACCGAGCTGAGCGTGACGGTGGCCGTGGGCGCTTCGCTCCTCTTCCTCAACGTGCTGGCCTTCGCCGCCCTCTACTACAAGCGGGATAAGAGGCACGAACTCATGCAGAGGCGCCACCGGAGGCTCTCCCCGCAGCGCGGCACCACCATGGGCATGGGCATGGGCGTGGGCATGGGCGTGGTGGGCTCCCCGCCGCACAACGACCTGGCGCTCAGCCAGGAGGAGGAGCTCATGTCCCTGCAGATGAAGCAGCAGCGGGTGGAGCTGGAGCACGGGACGCCCCTCCCCTCCCGCGGCGTCCACGGCGACCTGGAACCCCTTCGGCCCTCCGTGTGTCCACCTGACTACACCCTGGCCCTGCGCCGGGCCCCGGAGGATGTGCCACTCATGACGGCCAATACTATAACCATGATCCCTAGCACCATCAGCAGCATCCAACCGCTCCATCCCTTTAATACTTACCCCCCGGTCCCCACTCCCTCTACCACCCCCGTCCCCAGCCACAGCAACAATGCCCTGCCACACCAACACTCCACCACCCGTGTATAGGACCAGGCACAAGCTCTGCTACCCCTCTCTGGGCTCACAGAGACGCACCACACAAACTGCTCCACTCAAACTTCACTCCCTCCACCCTCTCGTCTCTCCGTTATCTCTCTGTCTTCGTCCTCATTAAGCCCTCAAATAAAGCTGCAGTTTGTAAGATTTGAAGCAGTGAAATACCTCTAAACTGTAATCATAACTCAAGGAGGGACTTGATCGAAAAGCTCCTTTGTCATCCCGGGCAACATCCCGCTTTTTCCCCGTTATAGCTCTATAAATAACGACAGTGGTGCTTATGAAAGTCACCAAACATGCAGCTTTAAGCTTGTAGCTCCCTCAAAGAGGTATCATAGTCAGTCAGACGTCTAATGTGCAGCTTGGTTGTTTGGCGCATGTGGTTTTTTGTGTCCGTGAAAAAAATAACGAAAAAAAAAAACTACGTTTAGCAAAGAACTCAAATGTACATTTTCGTTCATTTAGCGAAAAGATGAAACAGTAGCAAGCAGCTTTGTACGGGGAGGCATATGTCCCAGCAAGCTGTCTTTCGTAAAGCACTGATTTGTTCAAACTTACAAATTGCAGCTTTAAAGGCCCAATCTGGAAGTCAAATTTGGAACTGTGTGTGGAGCACTACGCCCAGCTGTCTGCATTGTGATTTTGAACGAGTGTTGTTCTGGGTGACATGTATTGACAGGAGAGAACAAGAATGACAAGAATGAGCAAGAATGAACAGTCTGACAGCAACTCCATTTTAAAACTAAGATTCAGTCATTCTATTTATAGGTGTGTGGTCCCGTTTTCATTTACGAAACTACCAAAATAGCATTAAACCGATTTTTTTTTTCCCCCTCGCCTTTCTTTTGAAATCTGTGTACTCTCTGCTGCTGCTTTTGAAAAATTTCCAGATTGGGTCTTCAACTGTTGAACACAGCAGAAATCAACCGAATCGCATTCAGCCCGTAGGATGCAGCCTGGAATCCAGGCTGCCCATTAGAACTTGCTGCATCTGCGCCTCCCAGGCTCCATTCATGTCCATTACTTTATTTGTTTCTCACTCATTATCTCTATGCCTGTTTCCTCCATCTCAGCTCACGTACCTGCTTCCCTCATTCTGCTGCCTCACACTCGTGCTCACTCTGCATCTCCCCGTGTAGCTCTTTTTATCAAGCCATCGACATGATCCATTTTCCCTGTCTTTCTTGCATTCACCTCTAGACTCTTTTTTCCTTTTTGGAGTCTTTTATACAAAACACAAATGTAAATGATGTATTATTATTAAATTGTAAGGATATGAATGAAAAAAAAAAGATATTCTGATATCTCGTTTTTACCAGCATTCTTGGTGCCAAGTACTGTGATAAAGTTCCTCTTTTGCGGCGTCCAGTGGACGGCTGCAGAGGTCCATCCTGACTGTATCTTTCAAAAGGAGTTACCATCAGAGAAAGTGCCAACCCCTTCATCTTTCTTTTTGACCACACATACTTCTTTTTTTTTTTTTTATTACTACCCTGAATGTTGCACTGTGGCTGTTCTCTTGTTTAAAGGGAAATCAGACTGAATATATTCTCATTTAAAAAAAGGAAAAAAAGGAAAAAAGTATATATAGTTTTATTAACTACTTTGCTGTGTGGGATAGTTGCATGTTTTTTTTTTCTTAATTGTGTGGCCAGAGAAGTCATTCTGATAATTTGCCTTGTTCTTCATTGTTTTTCTTTTGGTTGAAAGATCATTTTCATTTTATATTTCAATATCAGCTGCACTTTGTGGTACTTCGGAAAGTATTAAAGTATTAAGAGATGAATATTGTGTAAAACTATGATTATAACAAAGAGAGTAAATATTCCCTCTTTATTTTTTTCAGTTCCTAACACTGAGGCTGTGCCGCAAAGCTACCAGAGACTGATGAAGGCCTTTTTAATGCCCCCTCCTTTTGCTTTTTGCTGTCTTTTTCTTTTATCTTTTGCGACTGTCAGGTTTGCACAGCCTCTGTCTCTCAATCTCACCTGAAGATAGCACTTTGTAAGTTACAAAAAAAGAGAAATGACTTAATGAATAACCGAAATAAGGTTTTTGTCTGCAACTGACATGAACCACCTGCTTCAAGTGTTTGAGGACTGCCTGACAGTTATCTTTTTCGTCCGCTCTTTTGTTGTGTCGCGATTCTCGCTTCTGCACGGCGAGAGAAAAGGAAGAGATATATTTATGGTCAAAAGATGAGAGAGCCTTGTATGCGCGTGTCACATCTTTCGCACAATTGAACACAGAGACAGGTCTTACTCTGGACAATGATAAAAAAAAAATTAAAAAACTGTGACATGAAGACAACACTGGACAAGCAATGATTCAGTGGTGATGAGGAAATATGATCTGTCAATGCACAAAGGGTGCATTCTAAAAACCTGATTTAACAGACATTACTCACACACCACATGCCGTGAAAGGGAGGCTAGCGGGATTAATTCCCCTTCCTTGTCACGTCCTGCATCCTGTGTGCTCAGGATAACAACACTCTGGAGTCAGACTGCCATCCCTCACACTGGACTCGAGCGATTTGCAAGGACACAACCAACACACAAAAACAAATTGTACATTTTTTAAGTGTAAGAGAACAAACTGGAATTTGTAAATATTATGTTTGTTGTTTGGTTTGAGTGACTGGCCAGATCTTTTCTTTGTGACAACAGGTGCAAGTTTAGATGACCAATTACTTTAGCGCTCATGAGTATAGTCCGTCTAATTCTCCTTTATTTCTTTAATCTCAACTTCAAATCCCAATAGGTTATGGGCATACGAATTAATCTGTTAACATACGTGAACAGATGGGGGGGATGAAAAAGAAATCGCATGATGGTTCAGGGAAACATGATTGATTCAGACGGGTGGTAGCTCAGATATTGTGATTAACATGCTCCATACAGGGTTGTCTGTAATGTACCATGCACACTTGGCACTATCCTATCTATCATAAAGGCAGCTTTTTGGATGGGTTGAGTTCTTTCATTGGTGGAAAAGCCAAAGAACAGCTGCAGAGGACTGATGAAGAGAGGGAATATACGGGGGATTTGAGAACAAGGCAGAAAAACAACAGATAACGCCACAAAAGTGTTCAAAGCAAGACACAAATTGGGGAATTTTTGCTTGTAATGCTGTTGGAAATTAATGTTATTGTCCCACGTTGTCTTAAGCATTATCATATAGTATACCCTGTGACTGGGAGGTTGTGAAATCCTTTGTACTGTTTTTGGTCTTTTTTTCGAGCTCGAAACATGGTGGTTGTTTTGCTACGTTCCTGTCTGGCAATTCTGTTAAAAGAATTATTGACCCAGTTGCTTGATATGTTTCCATTGCCCACGCTTCTAAAAATAGCATTACAATTTTTTTTTTCAATTCTCTTTTGGAAAAAAAAAAAAGGGTTGTGGACCAGCCAACAGATAATGGAAGCACACTCACCAAGTTTACATGTTTACACTACAGTTTTGAAGTTGGCTTATGGTGAGGGAAGGGGGAGCATTACACAGATACAAATACCTTCTTCTTATAGGATTCAGTGGAGGAATGTGGAGGTGAAGGCTTGCACCTGTTTGTCTGTTTCATTTATTCAGATTCAGTAACCTGCTTGAGGCGCAAGATACTGTGAGAGAGCAGAACGACAGGAAGAATTAAAGAACTCAAGTTAATATTTCTATTTCAAATAGAGGCTACTACACACTGTATGTTGTGTATCTGAACTGGAAAACATTAAAAGATATTCTTAAACAAATGCTTTGCCATCATTTTAAATGGTCTTATTTTATTTATTTTATTTATTTTATTTTTTTGGCCACTAGGGGACAGAAGAAAGCACAACATTAAAAAAATAATACTCCAAAGCTAGCCAGAGGCAACATGGGAAACAGTTTCTCCTATCTTTGTCTTTTTTTTTTATCATTATTTTAACAGTGCTATTTTCAGTCGCTTCTTTAAGTAGAATTATACTCTTACCACTGTCTTAAGGAGTTAAGTCAGACTTGTAAAATCCCCCCCAAACTAACAGTTTACAGCTCACTGGCTTTGTCCTCTTTATACTGACAAGGAGAATATGAAGTCAAATATAGCCAACGCTTAGAAAAGCGCTGATATCAATGAGAGTGGACAGAACCTGTACCACCTGTGTTAGGCTGCTTTTCGCTTTGTCCAGTGACAGACCAAAGCAGTGTTGACCCCTGACCTGCAGCCACTGAGGAAAAGACAATGTGACAAGTGTGCTGTCAGAGGTGACTTAACTTCAAATTGGTTTCCAAAATGGATCAACGATTTTTTAGAGGTTTTTAAGTAAGTTTCTTTTGCTGGAAGGCTCCATCTGACTCATATCTAAGCTCTGGTCTGTTTTTTTTTTTGTTTTTTGTTGTTGCAAGGTCTTCTTTTTTATGGATTTTAATGTGGTCGTGTTAATCAGAAAAATATTCATCATACTTGGAATACTCATACCCAATGCCATAGGTTTTATATTCAGCCAGTTAAGAGTTATTGGCACAAAATAGAAGGATACTTTCTATTTAATTAGAATTTATGAGGCTACTGATTATAATCCAAGGCCATGTGAATGGATGGCCATATTCAAAATGTCTGTCTGTCATCTCCATAATCAGTCAAATGATCATTTTAAAAACATGTAAGAGGGGTAATGTCGAAGAGCTATCGATTCTTTAGTAAGTTGTTCACTTCAGTATTTTACTTTAAAGTAGGTACACTGTCTGCAAAGGCAAATTGGACTGATCACTACTTATTTTTTTAATCTTAGTCTACAGTAGCCCTTGAAGGTAATCCATTTCCACCAAGGACAGAGCATCCATAATAAAAGTTTATGTGCTCATTTGATTTAATTGCTGCGTGGTTGTCTGAGCAGTATACAACCACTCACACACTGGAGAAGGCTCACATTTTTGCTCTTCATTTTTAGTTATTCATTTCTGCCTATGTGCTAACAGGGACCTTATGCATAATGTCCATCTGTCTGTGAAATATTCAACATGAGTTCAGTAATTCAATTGAAAATAACACAAATTTTGCACCGGTTTAAAGAGAGTAAGGTAGATAGATGGCAGGTTTTCAGAGGACTTGTAGAAGCGAGTCACATTGAGCCAGACACAGATTTAAGTTAATTCCATTACTGCCGGATGGCGTCGTGTTTGCCATGATTTTTGCTTTTCTGTTGTATTCATGAAGGAGCAATATTGGCTTTATGTAATATCATAAAGTGGCAATGCTTCAACGTAAGCAAATTCCTGCAAAAGAAGTCCAGCAGCGGGGAGAAAAAAAATCATTCCATTTGGCCGCTAGTTCAGACACACATTTACACACAGTTAGCTCTTATTGTCATTCTGTTCATTCAGACCCAAATGACTTTCACTTCAAAGCCCAAAATAACTTGGCAGCACCGGTTTATGACGGGGAACATCCTCTGATCTGTGTTTATTCAGCTGTACTGCAAAAGGAATCACTTTTGATCAAATATGCGGCACTATAATGGTCCTCTAAAAAAAAAAACACATTTCTGTACATGATTCAATTTAACTCTTTCTGTTATTTAACTGTATGATGTGGTGAAGGTCTGCAGAGAGGAACCAACTTGTCAAGGGACAATTTAGAGTCACCAGTTAAGTTTTTAGATGATAATGCACACCCATACAAACCGTTGTATAGCTCCATCATGCCGTCCTCTATTTTCTATACCTGCTGGATTCCTTTTTTTGTTTTTTTTGTCCCAATGTGGACATTAAATGGTTAAAAAGCAACAAACATTTCTTCTCCTCTTACACTAGATGGCAGTGTGGGAAATTGCCCACAGCCTCTATAGGCAAAAGAGGATTCCATTTCAGAAAAACTCAAGCTTCACGTGGACAAAAATGCTGCAGATAAAATCATGAGAAAATTGCTTTTATTGGATACTCAATGATTATTTCCCCCTTTTTTTTCTCTTAATGATTACATTTATATGTTAAGTCTGTAGGGGTTATGGTGTTGTATTACAAACTTGAAAACTTGGGGAACTTTTTAACAGATTTATGCGACTGTCTGTGGATTTTTTTTTTTATTGCATTCAAAAGACTTTTATTACTTCTAGATGAACAAAATGATTGAAGACACTAAAACCCATTATGCAGTCATAAAAGTCAAATCCAATTTTTATAACTGGCCGAACATTCAAACTCACATATGCCATAGAATATGATAAGGAAGAGCTATTTCTAGTCCTATCAGAGCTTCACGCCAACATTTTACAAGAGCATATTTTAGATGCCCTAGAGGCTTTTGGAAATGGATAAGATGTGTGTTTTGTTTTTGTCTTTTTGGTTTGTTTTTATATTTTTGTGTTAATTCTTTTTCGGCCGGTTGAAAATGGTTGTTATTCATCAATGTTCATTATTTTGTCCACTAATATGTTTTTTGTATTAGAAATACAAACACGATGAAGGTAAGCAGATTGTGATGTTTTATTAATTTGACAACTTTTCTTGTCATCCCAGTCACGAGCATAAAAATCATTCTCTCGACATAATAAGCACCCTTCAGAATGTGGAGCGATAAAAGGGATGCTAAATAGAAAACAGGGTTTTATTACTTTAGAATTACCAATAAGCCTTTTTTCTTTCAACATAGCATTTTTTTACACACGTCTACTAATATTTCTTGAAATGGATAGGAATCCCTGCTCACCAAAATGAGAAACCGTAAGAGCTCTCATATGGTGTGTTGCAGGTAAAGAGGGAGAGGTGAGGGAGAGATGCAGTTGTCGTAGAAGAGCTGGAAGTTCTGGTCCACGTCCATGTGATTTTTGAGAAAGATTTCGAGCTCTTGCACCGGCATCTCGTGAACGCTGTTGCCCTCTTTGGCATTTTTGGCCAAGGCCGCGTGGGACGGGAAGCGGATGCGCACGTCGTGGGGCGAGTTGCGGTCGTAGTCGGTGCAGCAGTAGGCCGACCACACGTCCTCCGGGATGGCCACGCGGTCCTGGTTGTTGCGCCGGATCATGTTGCCCCTGGTGGTCACCCCGGTGACTATGTAGGCCGTTCCGCGGCAGAAGTTGTTGAGGCGGACTCGGATTCGCTCCTCGTACTCGCGCCAGGGCCCGATGTTGAACTCCCGTATCTCGGGGACCACGTTTGTGAGGGTGTAGGTGGCGGCCCGGTCGTGCGGGGTGGACTGGTGCTGATCGGGGTTCAGGTGACCCCTTTCGTAGAGAACCACGTCAGAGTAGTCATCCAGCACCGCCTGACTGTCCTCAAACTTCATGTGAAGGTAACCGGTGGGAAAGGGCAACATGTTTCCATTTCCGTCGAGTTCTGCCAGCTGGAAAACATGGAAGACGTTAAATACAAAATACCAGAAATGTCCTTAAGGCCTCTCGATCCACTTTCCCACATACAGTATGACCTATTGACCCTGTCAGCATCTGTCGGCTTTTTTCCTAAATATTTCGACCTGCATTGTTAACCAACCAAGCTGAAAGCGAGAGAAATAATAAATGACAACGCTCCACGGACGTTGTGACTGAAAAGCTTTTACCTGCGGCTCATACATCCAAGGGTAGTCCACACGCCTGTCTCCCTCCGTCTTCTTAAAGGTGTAAGCCGAATAGACGGGGATCCGCTTTTGTGGATCGTACAGGGTAACGAATCGAGGCTTGTCTGCGTAGCGCTGGCAGATCTTCTTCAGCCTGATGTCGCTGATCCCCCGCGGAGGAGTCCCCATATAAAGGGAGTCTTTGCATCTCTCCACATGATTGAAATCTAGAACCACCGTTGCGTGTGAAAGGTGTTTCATTGTCAGGACAAGAATTAAAGGAGTCAACATCCTCATGATTGCAGCGAGTCCTCAGAGTCCTGTACTGAGCCTTGAACTAAACGATCACAGTGGATGTTCACAGTTATGATGTGAATGTCACATGGCAGATATGCAAAATCTCAACTGTGTGGCTACAATACAGACCTCGAAAACATGGGAGGTCAGAATGCACATTTATAAGGCATGAACATAACTGCTGTACACACATGAAGGATGATTAATATTCTTAAAAGTGGATGGATGTGGTTTTATTGGGTCTGTCTCAGTTTCTCTTTAAGTGACAGCCAGAAGAGTTTTTCCAATGAATTAGGTTATCTACTATGCTGTTAAATGGAGAGCGGTTTAAAACTGACCATTTAATCAAATATAGGGGTAACAAGATACTGTTTTATTGGCTTTTTTTTTTGGCTGAGTGATTTAAAAATAGCTGTTTTTCACCCTCATATAAGCCTGAATGTTGCTGAGTGCTTCTTACACTCACAAAATTGAAATAGCACACTCAGGAAGGTGCCACGTGTAGAAATGTAAAATGCAAAACTGCTAATCTGTCTCTGTGGTGGACAAAAGGCCCATAGTGAACCGTGTGGCTCAGAGATATTGTTTTTCCCTGAGTAAATGGTGGATAAACCTTTGAGGAAAAGAAAGAGATAAAGCATGAAAATTGACTTCATAGTAATATAGACTCTCCATCGGACCAGACATGTCAAAATCTTTGTATATGTCTCCTAATGCTGCTATTATTATGACAGAAATTATAATTGATGTCAGAAAATAGTGAAATTAGTAAGTAGTAATCAGTCAGAAACCGTCAGATATCATAAGCTTTATAAGCTTTAGTGGACGAAATATTTATTCACAGTAGATGATCCAAATGAAATTTGGGGGCTTTATTACATACAGCAAAACAGTATAAATGCATACGCTGCAGGTGATTTGTCACAATACTTATGATCAGAAAGAAACTAGCTAGATTTACATTAAAGAAGATGTGTTATTTATCAAACGTCTCAGCCAAATTGGTCCTTGGCTGGATTTGGAAGCTCACTGTATACACAGAAGATGTTATAAATACTCCTTTTCCAAAGTTTCAGCATAACTATCGAGATTCCAATTTTTTATTTTTATTATTATCCACCCATTTTTGACTGGATGACTGGGATAACCACAGTTCTTTCTCCAGTACTGCTTGTTAGCCTCGTCTTCATTTTGCCTGGAGGTTACACTGACCACCCCACAAATAGAGGGATTGCTGAGTTATCAAGCAATCTAAGCACATGTTCTGTCAAAGTGACCTGAATCAGAGGCTACTGGGTGCAGACACCCACTGCAGAGGTGTGCGGACATATCTGCAAAGAGAACCAAGGGCTTGAGAAAAACTGTCATGCGTAAATAGTATGCAACACATAAACAAAGCCACATCTAGGCTGTTGTTTCCATTGATTTGAATGGTGTAAAGTATAAAGGACATTACAATTGCTCTGATATCAGTGACTGGAGTGTCTGGGGATGTGCTATAATGCCCTCTATTAAAGTCTGCCTCATGCAAATGTAAACTGTCAGATTGGCCAGAGCCACAATCCCTCACTGCCCTAATAAGTCAATTTGAGTGACGGAGTGTTGTTGGAAGCAGCTTGCCTCTCTGATCTAATCTTGAGTTATGACAATCATAACTTATGTAGCCAGGGCTGATGATGCAGTTATGTGAACAGACATTTTTCAGCTGTCAGCATTTTTACCAATTAGAATTATAAATTCAGACCAAGTACGGACCCAGTTCAGCTGCTCTTCAGTAGAGGGGGAGGGAGGATGTTCAACCACTGTTCAGAATGATGTTCTTTGTCAGTTGTTTAAAAAAGAAGGTACCGATTGTTCATGCTGTCTGTGCAGTAGGATTTACTTTTGCTCATATAGCCATTATTAGAGGGACTGATGGAAGAAAGGTAGATAATCATTTGAGTAGTAATTACTCTTGTAAGCTTTTGGTAAATATCGAGAACCAATCATGCTATTACCATGGTTACCCCATCTTCCTGACTCTAGGTAGGCTGGTTTGAAGATGTCAAATAGATCTTTAGATGATTTTCACACAAGGCAGGCATACATTGGAAACTTTACATAACAGCTAGAGCAGCACTGAAAAAGCCCAGCCCATTTTGAGAGAGATTCCAGGTTTACTCTCTGTGAGCCTCCTGAGCTAGTAGGAATTTACCTATTTGTTGAGACTCCTGATGAGAAATAAAAGAGGTGGAGGGCATATTTTGGGGAATTATTAACAACATCTCACAATTAAACAAGTCAGTGTAGTACAGTCTAAACAGAAATAACATTCTCCAGGTAATTTGCTATTGTTTATACGTTTATACGTATAGCTGGTACCCATATACCAGCTGTAAAAACAGTTTGGTGATGGCACATCTGTGCTGCCCTGCATATTTAATCTGGAATAGAAATATGAAAAATACAACTTATTGCCCAGATGGAGGCAGTGTAGACTTGTAGTTGGATGGTCCCTATATCCTGCTTTATGGTGAAAACAGCAATAACACATGAAGATTTTGAATCCAAAAAAGAAATAAAGTAAATAAAAAAACATAACTATTAAAAAGTATTTCATTGCATTGTAATACTGTGACTTATTAGCATATATATTAAAGTGTTTATTTTATATAAATACATACATTTGAGAAATCTGATTGTTTTTGGTTGATTTAAATTTCCTTTTTTGTGTTTTGTGGAAACAGTTTAATACCAATACACAATATTTGTGGTGCTTTTTTTTTCTTGGATCACTAAATTCTTATTAGATTTTTTTCAATGAATGTGGTGTTCAATGGTATAAATGTAGCTTTGTGAAACATTGTCTTTTCTGCTTAAAATCGTTCATCTAATACAGTCCTAAGTGAGCATCCTACAGAAAAGCGTTCAACTGCAAACCGTGGAGGATGGGTGCTATGTCAGCTTTTGGCCACCAGGGAGCGAGATTTAGTCAATATTCCGAGCTGCTCCGACTTAGTTCTGCACCAAAGCCTGCTGATTGGCCAACACTGGCTGAGCGCTGACCAATAGAGTTTGGGATGGTGAGGGGCTGTTGCTAAGGCACTTCAGAGGTTTTTTGAAAAAAAAAAGGGGAAAAAAGAAATCTACAACCAGTCTATCTCTATCATTTGACTCTTCCACATGTCCGGCCCCTCAGCCAGTCTCCTAGCATCTCTGCCCCTCTCTGCGGTTGCAGGCCTTGAAAGCCCTGCCTGCTTTTTATTGGCCGGTGAATGGTGAAACAAGCGGAGGAGTGAGTACCGTCTTAGCATTGTGTGTTTCAGAGACTAGACCCTCCCTCATAGAGGGGAGCTGTAGCCCCTCCTACGCTGGTTAGCCTGTCACTTGACATTTGAGCTCAGCTAGCACTGGCAGCCCCTTCTTGTCACCATTTCCCTGTTCCACTTACTCAGAAAAAAGGATTATACCGAAGATATTATCACCAGCAGATACCTGTATCTTATTTCTTCAAATTTTGTTAGGTGAGAATTTGACAAAGACATGAAAAGAGAGCAGAAAGCGTTAAGAAATTAGCACTTAAGCCTCCATTGCCGAAGAAATGACTGACATCCAAATGTAGTGATGCAATTGAGGGAAGACGTCTATATCAGCCAACTTATTTTATTTCACGGCTGTGGAGACATTTAAAAATATCTCTTCTACTGTACTGGCTGCGCTCCAGCTCATTTACACACACACAAACACACAAAGAGGAAGAGAAATAAAGACCCCCTCTTTATTTCTCTGTCTGCTGATTTCTCCTCCTCCTCAGGCCTCCTCCTGTTCCCTGCGACGTGTTGATTGATAAGGCATTCTCGCTTCTGATAGGCTCGCGCCTGGTGATTGGCAGCCGGGAGTCCCGCCCCTCGCTGTGTGCACGTGTATCGGGTCTGTGCTGCTATGAGAGCCCGAGCATCAGAGAGTGGAGTGGAAACAGGAAGAGGAGGCAAGGGGAAGAAAGGAGACGGAGAGGATCGGGTGAGACAAGGTGGAAAGGAGTGAAAGGGAGGAAAAGGGGAGCAGAGGGCTGCGTGGACCAAAGACTATTAAAAAAAACAAAAACTGGAGGTAAACGAGGACTACAGAGGAGGAACTTGACGTGCCTTTACGACTGAGTGGAAATCTACTGTATGCATTGTGCAGCGTGGAAGGATTCTGTGTTTTCCCTCCCCGTCCAGTTTTCATTTCTGTACGTCTGTTTTGTTTTGTTTCTGAATGAGTTGCCTTGTGTGGACATACTGCAGTGTGTGTCTGCAGACTGCTGCACGTTCATGCATGAAGCTCTCTCTCTCTCTCACACACACACACACAAACACATACTGGCAAGCTCACGTGCAGACGCACAGCGATGTAAAAAAGGATGGATTTTTGGTCAAAGGGGAACTGTTGCGGTTGCACTTGTTTTGCGGGTTCCTGCGTGCTCTGTGGGGGGTGGGGGGGTGTTAACAGCTGCATTTCGGCCGGTGTGCGTCCCCGTGTGTACAGTAGAAAGTGTAGCCAAGTGCAATGATTAACCTTAATTCAGAGCCGTGTCTGAAGTGTGTCACGTACTGCACGGGACTACAGGCTCCACTGAGGGCTCAGCTCAGTCTTGATCGCGCTTAGATTTGCAGACATGTGTGTTTCTAATAATACTTTTACGCGTGTCACACACTGGATTGTTGTTTGGAGGAAGAAAAAAAAAAAAAAGAATAAACACAGCTTGAATGTCACCCACATTAACCCAGTGTTTGCCTTCAGTGGATGTGATTACCGGCTTAGGTAACCACCTGAACCTGCATTTCTGTGTTGCCATTCCACGCACAGCCCGGGTGTCTGAGACACACACTGGCAGGGGCACACGAACACCGACGTGCATGATCTGTCTCCCCAGAGCCTGACAACCGTCTTCAGTGTCTTTGTTCAGGAAAAGCTGGACATTTTTGCATTGTTTGCAGCAGACACCCCTCTCCCTCGTTCCTGACCTTGCCTTGGTACATTCCAGCACCCCTCAGAGGGCTGTGCTTTATGGAGCATACGCCGGGAGAAGCTGCTTTTACGGAAAAGGGAGAAGGGGATAGAGGTATAGGCAAGCAGGGCTGCGGGGGTTGTTATTTTTAGAATTGCGATTGATATTGGGCTGGCACTTGTGTGTTCTTTCTCTTTTGAAATTGATGCTTTTTGCAGGCCGGCGTCCAATGTAATCATCACTGTGTGTGTGTGTGTGGTCAGGGAGGGGGAAGCCTGTCCAGTCACTGTCCAGCCTGCTTGTGTATTGTTGCTTCTCAACTCCCCTCGTTCTGATCCACTTACAGGGGAAGGATCGGCCTGTTGCAGACCGTCCTTCCTTTTATGGTGAGGGAGCTGTGTGCCTGCTAGAGGCTCCAAACGCACACAAATGGAGAGCAGGAGGTGCACATCTGCAGCGCTTCGCTGCAGCTAGTGTCACTGTGTGAGCTGTGCATGAGACACCAATGTGCCGGCACCGATTGGGGGGGCACCGACCGCGAAGTTTCAGCCTCCTTCCGACTTAATCTCAATGGAGTCGCTGCCTAAGTGCCGCTGACATTTGAAGGCTGCGCGAAACGTGGAAATTTAAATCCCACAGTCTGCCGCCACCTCCACCTCCCCCCCCCCCCCAGTTCTCCGTGTCAAAATCCCACACAAATGCAAACACTCCCCTCCTTGCTGGAGGCCTTCCTCCCAGCTCTGGACTAAATGATATCATCGGTTGCCAGGGATACAAGGACACGGCGTGTAGAGAAAAGGGAGGGTGAGGTATGGCCACAGCCTGAAAGGGAAAGCAAGCGGCTGGGATATTGGGTATCAAGGAAAGAAAAGAAAAAAAAAAGAAAACATGGAACCTTGTTGAAACAAGAAGTGAAGCAATAAAGCAGGTCAATGAGGACAGAGTGCTTGCAAACCTGCCGGGGCTGCTCCTTACATTCTCTTCCTTTGTCTACACGAGTCAGTTTTGTAACGGTGCAGATGTTGCAGGGCAGATGTAGATGTAGAACAGGAAGGGGAGAGAATTACAGCTATACCTGAGGGACGGGGGAGAAATACTGGCTGACGATTTGAGACAATAAAACCTTCCTGTCTTGTACATCTGTGCACCAACTGGCTGTGGTATTTCCTCAAGCGCTCTACTATGTGTGTCTGTTTGTGTTTGCCAGCTCAGCTATTTAAAGCGATCCGAGACCGCCTGCACGGGTCTGCTGTCCTGCTATTCCTGACTGATAGCGCTGTCGAGTTTGGACCAGAGAGTCTGCCTCCTCAGTCTCTCCCAGTAGTCACTGAAAGGTAAGACTGGCTTCGGGGGACACATGATATAAGATTTCAAACAAACGTGCTATATTTACACATAGCAAACAAGATCGGTGTGTGTGTGAGGGGGTGCCTGGTGGCGAGAGAGAGAGAGAGGAAAGCATGCAGCAACTTTCAACTTTTTCAGCGCCAAGTGAAAGAAGCCATAGTGAATGTTTTTACTCCAACACCTTTTTTTTCTTTTTAAGAAAAGCAGCGTTTTTACTGTACGTGTTGCACACGGGGCCGTTTGCACAGCACATTCTTTCTTAAAGGTTGTCCCACTGAGTGTTCACCCAAAAGCAACTTAACCCACTTTTACACATGACATCATTTAGCCCCAGAGAAGCCTTCCAGATGCTTTGCATTAACCCTGCACACATGGGTTCAATATTGAGAGAACAGAGCTGTTGCTGTGCAGAGTCAATTCTGAGCTCCTGCTGACTGACAGCCCCCCCCCCCCCCCCCTCCAACAACAACACTGTAACAAAAGTGTGCGTTCCAGTGTGCAGCGGGGAGGTTGGACAACAGATGGTGTTTCTGCTGCCTGTGTGAGTGTTGCTCTAAAGCCAGCCAGCTCCGGGCTCCACAGAGCCGGGGAGCTCCGTCCAAAGGGCTCATAAATACGCCACTCGCCGTTAAACGGCAGGAATGGAGCTCCCAGTGAACTTTTTTTTTTTTGGTCACAATTCAGAGTTGATGACAGTGGGATGTTGACATGAGCTGCTCTTTTGGCACAAGACCCGCTTCCGTCAGCCTGATCTGAGGAGGCTTTAAGGAGCAAGATGCTGTATTTCTTGAGAGGCGTTTTAAGAATGAGAAAACAGTTTTTTAAAACGGCACATTCTAGCTCAAAATTCAGTGATAGTGAAGGATTTTTCCAGATGTGTCCTCTCTGCAGGATGCGGCAGCTTTAGCCCGGGTTTCTGCATGTAGATTGAGCTTGACTCTGTTATTCTAAAGGTTTTTGAAGATGTAACTTTGTGTGCACACGTGAGCCCTTTGTGTCCTCTCTTTTCTCTAAAAATACATCTCAATCGAGCTGGCTGAAAAGCCCGAAGCAACAGCAGTAAGAACCGTCTGGCTTCAGTTGCTCCAGCAACTGGTTGAAAATGGACTCTGGGAGGCTGCTCGCTTAATCTCATTCAGCACTGGCAGAAAAGGAAAAAAGGGACAGAAAAGAAAAAAGGTCAATACACAGCTGTGATAGTGTCACCACAAACAAACCCGAGAAGCAAATATGTAGTACGACAGAATGTTCCACGAGGGAAGTGGTGAAACGTTGCACCGCTCGTCGTCATGCAAGTTATAAATAGCTTTGGGGAGCAAATGCATACAGTCGGCGTACGGCTGTGCTCCCTTCAAACTGCAGAGTGGAACTTTGAAAGAAGGGCTCACTTCAAGCGAAAGGCGCTGCCAGCAGGGGAGGTGTTTCAGCATCTCAGGGTAGAGATGCATTTGTGATTAAAGCAGGGGAGAAACAACTCCCAAATGACCAGTAGACAGCAGCGGAGCTATGGATTTCTCTTCTGAGTAGGTCCACTGACTTGGCGTGTGATTCAAATGAGTGAGACCTGATGCTCAGAATGAGCCCCTGATTAGGACATGGCTTAAAAGGAGAGCTCGGGAAAAATACAACAGCAGCTTGTTCTCGTCTTTGTTCTGAAAGTGAGGTTGCTATGCTTTTACCACTATGTTTTTGTTTTTTGTTTTTTTCTGTCACTGGATGGCCACCGGCTGTGGTGGCTGCTGGGAAGCTGTGATTAGAGACAGGCTGGGTGCAACAGTGCTGCTCTGGCTGACTGATGATATGAGAGCTGAACAGATGCAGCAGAAAATGCAGCGTGGGGAATTAAATCTACCAGAGAATCAGATCGCTTTGGATCGAACGCAGGCTGATGCAACACTCGTCTAATTGTGTTTAGCTCAGAATTTGTGAAGGAGTGCTAAGAGCTGCATGCTCTTGCCAGTGAGTGCACACAGCGGCTCTCTTAACCACTCATTGTGTTTGCAGACCGCCTCTCGCTCTCAGGTGTGAAGTGGAGAACCTCCCTAAAACAGACCAAGACTGGTAACCACAGTTTCTGTTCTATTTTAGTTTTCTTAGAAATACTCCACCATATAGAAAAGGTGTAAAGTTGTCGAGCCAGTGTTAGTTATCTAACCATGAGCAGAAATGAATAAATCGCTAATTAGAAAGACTGTTCTCTCACTTTTTAGCAGATCAGATTTAAGATTTAGAAAGCAACACGTTCAGATTTGATCAATGTGACAAGCTAGATTCCCTCATGAATTCACGTGTGTGTGCGTGTGTGTTGCAGGCTGCATGTATCACTCAGCAGAGCTCTACTCTGGCCGTAACGCATGGGACTCCTATCCGATTGGAGGACCTAACAGAGGACAATGGGCGCCTGTAAACGCTCGTCCATGGAGCCACGCACAAAGGTCAGCAGCCCCAAAAGCATCACTACAGTTTCTTACTGAAAGGATGTCAGTATACAGCTGCCCTGCCTTTAAGTCAAAGAAGGAGAGCAAGCTAGGAGCAGAACAACTGGCGTATTCCATCACTTAGTAGAGTCGAGAGAAGCACCACTTTATGGCTAATGCACAGAGCATATTCATGAAAAGCTCTCATTTCAGATGCAGCTGAGAGAATCAACTCTTGTGCTGCATAAACAAGTTGAGCACTGGTGATTGAAGCTGAAACGGCCTCAGCTGCAGCTGACTGAAGCTTCATTCAGCCGCGCCGGCTCACACCGGCTCTGCTCTTACATTACAGTCCATCAGCAGACGATCTTGTCCAAAAACCCACCACAGTCAAAGATCTGCTATCATTCTAAAGGCAGCTGACCCCCTCTGGATTTAAAGATCTGTGAAAATGTCCAACTCTAGATGCGTTAGATTGCTATCTGCAGCGAGTTAGCCATGGCATAAAGAGAGATAAAGGAGGGAAAAAGCACTGGCCCTGATTAATTACAGGACCTGAAAACATGGTTAGGCAGCTTTCCGTTTATTAGCCACCAGCAGAAAGATCCCAGATTTGTAGTATTTTCACATGCAGTGCATTGTCTCTCTAACAACATCAATGTTTGTTAATTTACCCCAACAGATGCCAGGAGGGGCGCAATCAGTCACATCATTCACTGTCAAACCGTCTTTATAACAGGTGAGTGGAAAGATTTCCACTCTGTGGCCTGTGTGGAATCTTTTCAAAGCCAACTGGGCTGTGGCTGAGCAACATCTGCACACGTTGGTTCGACACAGAGTCCCTGTTTTTTCTGCTTCAAACTTGTTTAATCTTGTCAGAGGGGACAGGGCGGTCCACCATGTGCAGGACAAGGGCATCTCGAAGGGACACCGACAGCTGCCACCGAGAGTTTGGGAAGGCAAAGAGCGGCCGTTCGAGGCCCAGAACTGGCACCACGGCTCCACGCGCTCCTTCAATCACCCGGCCGGCGCCAACAGCAGATACCCGCCAGGACCCGGACAGCGATATGCAGGCTTAGACGGCAATGTCAGATCATCTGTGGTGAGAACCGCCTACTTGGAGAGTATTGCTAAATAATCCTAATGGAGTGTTCCGGTTTGTGAGAGCAGGGGGATCCTCGACTGAACCGCAACACCAGGGACCTGCCGCCCCCACCGGACAGATGGGCGCCCTCGGACTGCCGCAGGAGCTTTCCCACCAGATTGGCAAACGACAGAGAGGGACCCTGGAAAAGGCCGGCCTTCCACCAGCGGCGAGAGCAGCTGCACCAGCACAGCCCTCCCCCACAGCACCACCTAGCTCCGAGGGACGTGTGCCCTGCCAAAAGGAGAAGGGACTCAGCACCTGATCAGGTAAAGAGGGACCAACTTTGTCTGGTCAGCTCTGTAAAGGCCTGTCGTCTGTGCAGCAGCACCACCTGCTGGCCCGGTCTGCTTAACGGGGACGTCTATCCTTTTTTCTGTTTAGCCATCTCATCCCGGATCAAGGCATTTACCTCTACCTGCCCCATCACCACCTCGCCACCATCGCTGCCCCCAAGACGACTGGGCAGGCCCCTGCCACCACTCTGACCACAGGACCTCAACCACACAGCAACTGGTGAGCTGTCGGGATCTGTCCGTTTGAAGCTGGAATGTCAAGAGCTGCCCCGCGGCTGACCCCGTTGGTTTGGAAATGTTTCAGGAAACCTCTAAACTGCGCGCTGGAGGCCATGGCTTTGGGAACTTGGACGCTCCAAACCAGAGCTGCGGCGGGAGAGCACCGCACCACAGCAACAGGGGGAGGGTGGAACGCAGGATCTCGGCTTCACCAGCAGACCACACCCGTGTGCCTTACAGCCAGCAAAACCACCATTACCACCATCAGCGGCACACAAGCCACCCCAGAACCCCACAGCACAACGCCCCATCAGGCCCTCCGGAGGAGAAAGACTCGCGGAGCCATCACCACAAACAAAGCACAGTAAGCGGGGAACATTCAAACCCAAGCTGCATGCGTCTCTGCACAAATGTCCACACTGACATGACTTTCATTCTGCAGGAAACTGAGTGCACTCATCTTAGAGGGGCTTCGAGGGATTCGGCCCTCTGCAAGAATCCTGCTGCAGACCCTCCTCCCTTTTCATCCCTGCTCAGTCCTAAAGATGGAGGGTCCACGTCCAGCAGTCCAGGTTCTCCCTCTAGTCCGTCTCCAGGCTCTGCGACCAGCGGCAAGAAAGATTCAGCAGACGGGAAACAATCTGGTCCCGCTCCCAGCGAACAGCAGCAGAAATTCCTAGCGAGCCCCGGTCACGGCCAGAGACCGAGCCTGGCATCCGCCCCGTCACCTAAACCTCACACCGGTTCAAAAGCCAGGCTCTCAGATGCCAAACACAGGAAGAGCTCCCTCTGTTCCCAGCGGGGCCCTCTCGCCAAGTCAAGAGCAAACAAGCCCGAGGAGGAGCCGGAGGACGACAAAAAGCCTGAGTACAAACAAAAAGATAAGCTTTTGAAAAGAGAGAGGAAAAACGATGCGGAAAAAGCAAATAGAAAGGGAGAAGATCGGAAAAGGCGGAAGAAAAAAGAGGAGAGAAGGCCGGGGGAGAAGAAAAGAAGGAGAGAGAAGATGACGAAGAAGGAAAAAAAAGTAGGCTCGAAAATCAAGATCACACAAAGTGAAGTGTTTTCCTCCCTCTATGTTTCCTCCTCTGCGGGAGAAGCTAAACTGGAGGCTGCGTCCTCTTCCCCGGACACTCAGGACCGGACACCCCCCAAACACAAGCACAGGCAGCGGACTGAGAAAGCAGGGAGGACATCACACATAGCGCCCACAGAAAGCTGCACCTCCCAGCCTCCGTCCTCAGAGAGGCAGAAAACGCCCGGCAGCCCCACAGAGCCCCCGGTCAAGAAGCGGCTCACACAATCCCCCCCGGTCAGCATCAGCCGGGCCGGCCGCGGCAACTCCCGCCCAGAAAGTGGACCAAAAACCACGCCGGACGACACCTTCCCCTCGCTGGTGCGTAAGGCCTTAGCACCTCTCAGCAGCGCCTGCCCCAGTGGCGGGCCCGTGCAAAGGAAAGACGGCGGACAGGGGGGGGTGCTCAGCGCCCCCGACCTTCAGCCGGTGGCCACGCTGGGGAATCCGATGGAAACGGGCGACAACTTGGCCAACACCCCCCCCCCCCCCCCGCGGCAGGGCCCCCCCGTGTCGGACCTGGAAGACGACGAGGAAGAGCTGAGCCGACCGGTCCTCCAGCCCAGCCCCACCCAGTGCTTCTCCCCCCCGCCCGCGGACAGCGAAAGCAACGACGGCGCGGCCAAGGACCCCGCCGAGGACACGCCCGACGGCTTCCACAGCGACCCCCCCGAGGCCCGCAGCCCGCCCTGCTCAATCAGACAAGTCGCAAAGGTGGACCCAGAGGAGGAGATGAGCAGACATGAAGAGACGTCCGACCTGCTTCTCAGTGAGTTTGAGAACCACAAAACAGGTCTGGACGATGTCTTTAAGAGCCTCGCCAACTTCCTGGGCGGTCAGAGGGTCACGTGTCGAGGCGGCCCGTTTGGCGGGGGTCCTACGAGGGGCACAAAGTTCTCATCCTGTCTCACAATGGCCCCAGAGATCAACTCTCAAGGTAACTCCCTGGAGTCCACTCCCACGTCATCCTGCGAGTCCAGCAATCAATCGCCAACTCACACTACCTCAGAGTCCCTTCTACAGTTCCATCATTTGCCATATCTGAGGGAGCCGGACACCGACGACAAGGCGCAGGAAAAGAGGGAAGAACCCGAGGCAGACGGGAAAGCGAAACTGGAGGGGAAGGATGCAGAGATCCTCCTGGAGAGGGCAAACTCGTCCCTTTTGAGTGCAGAGCTGAGAGTGACCACCGCACACTCGGCCTCTTTCACCAGCGTCATTACTGTCACTACCAAGGAAGAGAGAGGCACCAGCAAGGAAACGGAGCGCACAGCCACAAACAGGAAGAGAAAACAAAAGGCCGTGGAGGTAGGAAGAGAGGGGGAGATCAAGATTAAGATAAAGAGAGAGGAAGGCAAGGTCAAAAATAAAGTTACTGAAATGAAGAATTTTGGGGAGATGCCAGTCATCCATAGAAGTTCCTCCAGACCCCTCACAGACAGTATTAAGGGCCAGGTTCCTCAGGAAAATCCAACCCCACACGGAAAAGACATCAAGAGGGAAAAACCGGTCAGTGGGAATGCAGATGTAAAGGTGGCGACAAACAAGAGGCCGGAGACAGAAAATAAGTGGAGCTCAGAGACAGACGGCTCCAAGTCGGTGGCCACATCACAGCCGGGCGCCCCCACAGCTGCGGCCAAGCCGCCGGCGGACCCCCTGAAGCTCAAAGCGTTGTCCATGGGACTGCGTAAGGAGCTGAGGATCCTCCTGGTCAAAATGGACAGCCCCGGAAGGCACACCTTCAACATATCAGAGCTGGAGGAGCAAAAGATCCCGCTGGCCAGCATCAGCATCCAGAACACGGCCACCGAAGTGGTGCGGGCGTGCAGGTGAGTGCCCCGACCACTGTGATGCTGCCGCCGTGCTCCAGCAGCTCCACGGCTGACGGTGCGCCTCTGCTGCTCTGTTCTGTGTCTGTCCTTTAGGGGGACAACCGTGAGGGGGAAGTTCAAGGAGTCGTACCTGCATCCGGCTCTCTCTGTTAAGCCCAACATTGCCATCTCAACCCTGATTCCCCGAGAAAAGCTGAACCCTCCAACACCAAGCATCTATGTGAGTGCCCACCCAGCGGTTTTACTAACCCTTTTAGAGAAAATCATAGCATTTCAGGTCCGATGTCTCGTTATTTTACAAATCAACCAAACACTTATTCTTTCCCCTGGATATTGAATGCATCCATTTCTGTCAAATGCACAATGTTCTTTAGCATTATTTCCCTTACTCATTGGCATCATAAAGGAGCAACGGCAGATGAGGGGAAGGTGGATGAAAGCCACAGGGCAAAAAAACACCACCGTTTTATCTTTCCTTGTAAAAAATAGCCGTGGACTGCCCTGTGGTCAGGTTAAGCAACTCGGCCCAGTGACCATTAGACCGTTTCCTCACACATGATCATTCCCCTGTCTCCGCAGCTGGAGAGCAAGAGGGACGCCTTCTCTCCGGTTCTGCTTCAGTTCTGCACCGACCCCAAAAACGCAGTCACCGTAATCCGAGGTCTCGCCGGCTCACTCCGCCTTAGTAAGTCTTTACAGCATCATCTCAGCGGATCTGACACCGGTCTCTTAATTTCATTGCATGCAGATCTATGGTCTGCTGTGTTTTTGCTTTGAATGCTTTTGCATATTCGGATGGGCATTAAACAGCTGTCAGACACATTGTATAAATTACTTTAAGCTTTGCCTGGTAGAGGATAATATGGATAATATATATATGTTTATTTTGATGAGTAACTCTACTGTTACACCCCAAGACCTCGGCCTTTTCTCCACTAAATCCCTGGTCGAGGCCAATTCGGACCACGCCGTGGAGGTGAGGACTCAGGTTCAGCAGCCCGCCGACGAAAACTGGAACCCAAACAGCTCGCTGCAGACGTGGCCCTGTGAAAGCAGCCGCTCGCACACCACCATCGGCAAATACGCCCAGTACCAGGCCTCCAGCTTCCAGGAGAGTCTGCAGGTAAACATTTTTTCTCATGCCAAACACAGGCACGCTGCCCGATTGGTAGCCGGCAGTCTGGCCTCAAAGCAGAAACACACATCAGTGCAGCTGTGAACCCATAGGCACACACTCAGAGCAGCAGGGCATGGGTCTGTTTTATGATCGTACATTCAAAGGAAAATAAATGAAATCTTTAAAATCTTTAAGATCTTTAAAATCCGTACAAACCATTACAACCCTCATAAGTACAAAAAAAGCCACCGTTCAAAAAGCTGGAGAAGGCCGCTTCCTTCACCATCCATCCCACATGGAACACAGTTTTTCCTCAATCCGGGGGGCTTTTTATTTGAGAACTCAACTTGCTTTGAGTGCCATAAAATTTACATGATTCTCCCTCCCTTTTCCTTTTTTTGCAACACATATTTTACAAACCTGAAATGATATACGGATGCTTCCTTAAATTCTTTAACAGCTCTGCAAACAGTTTTTATTTCCCAGGCGTTGGGGATGAACTCCCGAGGCAGCGAGGTGCCGTTTTTCTCTTCAGCTGTCAGCTAAGCTCATGCAGATGTGTTATAGGAGGAGAAGGAGAGCGAGAATGAGGAGGAGGGCGAGCAGACCTCAGAGCCATCAGGGACAACGAAAGCTGCCCTGTCGTTGGACAGCGGCAGAGGCAATCCCAGCCCAGCAACAAACAAATCCAGCTGCAATCCTGCCATCGGCAAAGACCAGCCAGTTAATGCCACTAGCACACTCAGGTTCGCCCCAAATTGCCAGCTCGCTGTGCGGACAAAGCCCTGCCTCACTTCGTACACGCTAATCATCTCGGACTTTCCTCCACCCCACAGCCCAGAGCAGAAAAGTTCCAGAAAGATCATTAAATTCGGGACCAACATCGATCTCTCCGACCCTAAAAGGTAAGAAAGTCTTTTTCTAATTGCTCCGTCTCTCAGAGGGTGGCCGCTGCCTGGCATTACCTGCAATATTGGAGACAATGACGATCATTAGGATTCATTTTCTGTGCTCTGAACCAGGTGGAAGCCCCAGCTTCAGGAGCTGCTGAAGCTGCCAGCTTTCATGCGAGTGGAGTCCAGCAACAACATGCTCAGCCTCGTGGGCCACACCATCCTGGGCATGAACTCCGTCCAGCTGTACATGAAGGTCCCCGGCAGCCGCACGCCAGGTCAGCCCCGCGCGGCCCGCCCCGCCGCCAGGCTCCTCAGGTAGAACGGCGGGAGTTTTAAAAAAGCTTTGCTTGTGTCGCTCCCTCAGGCCACCAAGAGAACAACAACTTCTGCTCGGTCAACATCAACATCGGCCCCGGCGACTGCGAGTGGTTCGCGGTCCACGAACACTACTGGGAGGACATCAACAGATTCTGTGACAAGTGAGCGTGGCGGTCACTCTTTATTAAGCCTCAGTAAGCCCGTAGCGGCGTGTGTTTGTGATGCTTAGCTACGAACTGCCCCCCCCCCCTCCGCAGGCACGGAGTGGATTACCTGACGGGGTCCTGGTGGCCGGTGCTGGAGGATCTGTACAGCTCCAACATCCCCGTGTACCGCTTCATCCAGCGGCCGGGGGACCTGGTGTGGATCAACGCGGGGACCGTCCACTGGGTCCAGGCCGTGGGCTGGTGCAACAACATCGCCTGGAACGTGGGCCCGCTCAACTGTAAGCCGCCGCGGCGGGGTGCCGCTCGCCCTCCCCTCCCCTCCCCGCTCGTTTGATTAAGTATCTATCTCTCTGTCTGCGTCTCGCTCTCCGCCAGCCTACCAGTATCAGCTTGCCTTGGAGCGCTTCGAGTGGAACGAAGTGAAGAAGGTCAAATCCATCGTCCCCATGATTCACGTCTCCTGGAACGTGGCCCGCACCATCAAGGTCACAGACGAGAACACCTACAAAATGATCAAGTGAGTGGTTTTCCTATGAAAATCTGCACGCGTAGGCGTTTTCTAACATCTCCCTCTGTTGTTTTTTTTTTTTTTTTTTTGTCTCTCTCTCTCTTTGTTTGTTTTGTTTTTTTTCCCCTCCATTTGCAGACACTGTCTGATGCAGTCCATCAAGCACATCCAGATTCTCAGAGACCAGCTGGTAGCTGCGGGGAAGAAAATCTGTTACCAGGGCCGGGTGAAGGACGAGCCAGCCTACTACTGCAACGAGTGTGATGTGAGTCCCTCTTCAGCCGTTCCCCGGTTGCCCATCCAAAATCGCCAATGAGATCTGAGCTCAAAATCCGCCCCCCCGCGCAGGTGGAGGTGTTCGACCTGCTGTTTGTGACCAGTGACAACAGCCCCAAGAAGACCTACGTGGTGCACTGTGAGGACTGCGCCCGGGCCAAGAGCTCCAAGCTGGAGGGCGTCGTGGTGCTGGAACAGTATCGGATCGAGGAGCTGATGAGAACCTACGACAGTTTCGTTCTGGTCAGTATTGCTTTACAAAGTCCTCCTCCAGCATGTCTGGAGCTGTCGTCGCTCCTGCCCAGCCTGAGTGGAAGTTCAAATCTTGAACCTGATAAAGTGGGAAATGTGGGTAGATATGGCAGAAAACCAAACCACACATCTGTCAGCGGTGAGTTCACCCCGAACACGACGCTGTCCATGTGAAGCTTTAGTCATTGCACAGAGTCTGCTCAATGAACAAAGTGAGAGAAAAGGGTTTCTGGTTTTTGTTTTGCAGCTCCTAATAAATATTGTCAAAAGATTACCCGCTTGATGCTTTTCAGATTTGGCTGCAGTAGTCTTTGTTTTAGCTGCAGTCTGAATTCTCTGATGCACCACTGACAACGGTTCCATCAGAGCAGCTGACTCTGTATTAAAAATGTCCAGCTTCAGCCCCGATCCCTGTTGTCCGCCCCCCCCCCCATTTCCTGTCATCCATCAAATGCATAATGAAGACATTAAATTCCTGCCTCAAACAGTTTCTGCTCACAGCAGGGAAGCGATTATCAAACTGTCATTAAGCACCGGCTCAAACTAATTGTCCACAGCGGCGGATTACAGATTGTGTCTGTAAATCTTAAGTGACCGCGAGACGATTTTCATTCCCCTTTGTTCAACATGGCCAACAAGTTTGCTGTGAAGCCATGTCAGCAGCTGCCTGCAAATGTACGGCGTATAAATCTGTCATTATGCTTTGGAATAAAAACTCATCCGTTACAAAACTGTGGAAAGTGCAGTCAAATATGAGGGAAACATAGTAACAGAAAAAGTAGCGACTTATAGTCCAGAAATGACCTTATATGTGGTTCATGTAGTTCTGTGTTTTTTTATTTCCCCCCCTCAGACTCCATCACCGCCTTCAAAGTGAGGACATCACGCATCTTTCAGCCATAACCAAAACTCTAACGGCACTACAGATGTCGTCCTCCAGGCAAACTGCTCTGCAAACACTTTCTCAATCAGCCAATCACGTTTACTCTGTATTGTTTACATCACACAATAAGGTATGGATACTCAGCCAGTCCAACTATAGCTCACTGTCTTCCCCATACCAGCTGCAGATTGGACCTGTGTTTTGAAATAGAATGACTAGACTGGTTCCTCTCATGAAAAGCATTTCAGACAAGTGGAGACAAAAAAAGAAGGAAAGAAAGAACACAAAATCAATGTGAGCACTGCTAGCACTGAAGATCAGGTTATATATTTTCAACGGAAACTGCTGTGATTCAAAAAAAGCGTCAAGTAGCCGGTTCTGTGTAATGATTCAGGTACTTTTATGCAAATTCAAGTAGACTTTTTTTACACCAATCTAGTTATTCTATATGTCCATGAATTTGCTGTGATTCTATTGTACCAGCAGGGGAATCGCTTCACAGGAGAAGTAGCTGATTGTCACGTTAAGCATTGTATTGGTTCCTGTTTTTGTTTGGTATTTCAGGTTAACTCTGACATCTGTAATTCCTGTCTGTAAACTCTTCGAGGTGCTATTCCAATCTTATTTATTCTCGTTAGATACTCTTAAAAAGTTTTACCAGCCTAGAAGTACACCACATTGGCCTTGTGAACTGTATTTAGAGGTAATTAGATGGTAAAAAAAAAACAAACACGACTACGGTTTTATGTAAACATTAGAAAATTATACAAAAAGTTTTCTGAGTTTCTCTAAAATACGGGTTTACCAGAGGACTAATATGGTTTCACTCTTAGTTGGAAATCAACTCTGTAAAGGAAAAAATCTGACTTTTTTACGCTGGCTTTTTCCCAAGTCCAGCCAAACGGTGGTTAAATGGTTTGTATGATACACATGACAACAGACATACTGTAGTGTGGTTTTTACTTTTTTGAATGGGGAAGAAATCGGTCCCAGTTTTATACCTCCTTGTGTTGCAATGCTCTTGTTTCTAGACAACAGAGAAAACTAAATAACTGTAAATTGTGAATGACTCTATGGGATACACAGTGGTGTGCATAGACAGAGGCGCAGAGGTGTGGGGGGGAGGGGCACGCTGTAAAGTAAGGTGCAAAAAATTAACACAATCACAAACTTCTGAGGCTAAAATTATGCCCTGAACATCTGGCCATTTAGCCTCCTCATCAACAGCTGTTTTTTTCAACACAAATCCCAGATTTCTGCCCAAATCCCAGATTTCCGACCTAGAAACGAGCCCTGCACAGCTCTGATGCTGCCAAACCGTGGGAGCTCTCATCCAGCGCATGGCGTGCTGAGACAGGCCTGCGTAGAGGCGAGTGTGGTCAGTAGGTGAAGGTCTGATTCCCACACAGAACGTCTCCCCCCGGGCTGCGTCTAACAGCAGAAACGGAGGTTTGATATTGCTGTTGTGTAACCGTTGTAATGAATGAATCCCGCCGAGCAGTTTCACATGGCAGCTGCGCCCTCATTAGTCTGTGCACACCATCTCCTGTACATACTGTATCTGTTTCAGGTTTACTAGAAGACTTTAATGTTACTTTGTTCTCAATCAGAAAACCCTATTTGTTTTTTGTTGGTTTGTTCTGTTGCCGTTGATGCTAATTCTGATACATGCAGAAAATCCGCTGTCTCTCTCTAGTTTCAAATTACTGCAATGGGAAAAACGTGTCCCACTTTTATACCTCCTTTTTGTTGTCAGTTTCTGTTTTTTACTTGGAACATGGAGAACATGGAAAATTGTAAATGTTGACATTATTTATACTGTAAATGGTTGTTTTCTTATATATTTATTGCATATCAAAGGAGGCTTCGCTTCACAAGGGGCTGCGCTGTATTTTAAAAGTGTAGTATGGTCATAGTGTGTGGATAGGGGAAGTGCAATCAGGGGGGTGGTTTGATGTTCATGGTGCTAGACCCCTCCTTGCCTCAAAGCCCCCCCGATTAAACAGCATATAATGATGTATGAACATAAAAACACAACTCAATCCAACCATTTGGTGCTTAGAACCATTTCACCACAGTTTACTGGTAACAGAAATGGAATGATGTCTTTGTACTGTACGTAAGAGAAAAATACAAGATTTCTTTTTTTTGTTTAAAAAAACAAACAAACATTTTTCCCATTGTATGAAACTCATAACCTTGTGGCATTAGTGGTTTTATGATGAGCATTAGCTGTAGTTGTAATTCTTGACACATTTGCAGAGACTCTTAGGGATGTGACTTTTAATGGCGTCGAGGTTTCTCGTGTCTTGTCCTCATTAGTATTATTTGGAGGATGTAATAATGCTCTTTCTTTTCCCCTCTTGACTTGTTTGATTAATGCTGCACTTATTGTTTCCAAAAGATCTCACATTGAAGAAAACCTGAGCCAGACCTGTCTTAAATCCCTCTGTGATATTTCTGTGACATATTGTATTGCTGTTAAAGAAAATAAAATGTTTTGATAAATTACTCAATTCGGACTCTTTTGCCTTTGAATTTGTCCATGTGTCTCCATGACGACTTCCGCCGTTATGTCCTTATTTCTTCAAATGATACTTCAGATCATCGAACATGTAGGAAGGCGAAAGGATTTCTTTTAACTGAAAAAGTGATCTCATCTGAGAATAACACAATCATAATTGCTCTGCTGACACACAAAAGATTGACACCCCCATGAAGACTCACACAAATGCTAGGTTAACGTAAAACGATCAAAGTTCAGAATGAATAACATTGTAATATGCCCTAAAATTCACTGACCCAAAAGCATGGAACCTCATTTTCAAACCCTAAAATACCCTAGCCTAACCGGACCTGTCAGTCTGACAGTTGTTGTTCTGATTTGTTCTATAACTATAACAATCAAAGTGTTTCAAACCCCCCGAACACGCTGCTGTACCTTCGTCCGGCTGCAGATGACGGCCACTGAGGGGCTCCACTGTACCGGTCAGAACTCCTTTATTTTCCCTCCAGTATTTTCCTCGTCATCTTCTCAGTTCCGTGCAGTATTTAGTTTATACATAAGGCTATGAAAAAAGCACAAGTCGTGACATTTCTTTGTCACAATTCATTCAGCCCAACTATCTCTGAATAAAGATTGATTCTGGTTATTTTTTCATTGGTCAGAAGTCAAAAGGTTAAGAATGAGTTATTAAACGGTAGCGATCTGGATCTTCTATCAGGCTAAAATAACCCTTAATCAGGTCATACAGCTTCTAAAATGACAATGTGGTGACTCAGACCCTAAAATTACACATAGTGGATGTGACCTTTTTTTTTTAAAAACAATCTCCAACAATTACAACATTCAAGGGAGCGTGAGTTCTTCCGGCCTCTGGCTCCAGCGTGAGAGGACATGAGATTGCCCAACCTGCCGACACATGGACACCACAGTGGACACAGCAGCGGATATCCCGCTTCCAAGGACAGGAAAGACTGCTCTTCCTCTACCAGCCCGCTCAGACACCGACATCCACATTCAAACTCTGGCATTGTTAACGACAAAACCATTCCCCCCCACCCCCTTAATGCCATGCACTCTTTGATCATGTCCTCTACCAAAAACTGTTAAAGCACTCTCATTCTCCAGAGATCACGTATATCTGCCCCTGTGGAGAAACAAATAAACAGAGATGTCCAGAGCGAGATGAAAAAAATGAGAACTCGTATTAAAATGCCGGTTTCGCCCTTTGAACTGAGCCCCCTCTGGCTTCTTATCAGTCCCATGACGGCATCTTTTCCCCCCACCAAATTAGCCGAGTGTTCTCCCCCGTCCTCATTTCCTCGTGTTTCTCTGAGAGTGCAGATCTGTTTTTCATCACGGGGGTCAGAGGCCAGACGCCTGTCAGTCCTGCCTTTTGAAATAAAAAGACGGTCGCTTTGGCTTTCTCTTCCCCTCTAGTTTACACTTTCTGTGTTTTTGCTCGGGTGACAATGGCATACACTGGAACACCGAGTAATTTCCCACTTGGAAACCGACATTAAAAAACCAGCCCAGTTGCCGAATTGCAGAATTGCGTACCCCGCCTTATCAGCGTTTGACGGAGGAGTGGAGAAAGTGCCCCAGCGAGGGTGTAAAGTGTTGAGGATTGGGCAGCGTACCCTGACTCCTCTAATCTGTCCAAATAAACACCCGTCCTCCCTCCCCCCCCCCCCCTGGTTCCAGGGGTTATCAAAGAAAATCTCCCCCTGCACACACCGACAGCAGCCTTTAAAACAGGAGGGTCTGCTCTGTCTGCATTCAGATCCGAGGAAACACAGGATACAGACTCACAGACTCAGGTCCTATCTCAAACCCTAGTCACAGTGAGGAAACAGAATGTCAGGGAAGGAAGCGCTGAAGCCAGTGGGAAAGCATAATTTGCCTCGAGTCTGCACAGCTTTTTTCTGAGCCGCTCGGCAAACAGGTCTGAGGCAGACGTTCAGGTTCTCCAACAGCTGGAAGACCTCTGATTGTTTTTCTTCAGGAACACCAGAGGTTTAAGGCTTTGGTTGAAACAAGTCAAAGGCCACCTTTTCTTCCCCCGGATTTCACGTTCACCGTTTGGACGTAAATCAGGAGGAAATACTGGGAATTTTCCTCGTCTGCGTCCACCGTCCAACTGCAGGAGCGGAGATCAACAGGTTTGACCAAACAGTGAGTATGATAGCCGTCCTGAATGGGAAGAAATAGTTAGAAACCCGGGCCCGTAAAAAAATTCATTATTTTAAATGGAGAAATGTTTGATCGGAAACTCCATTTGATCCGGTTAGAGAGGCATTTCTTTAGATAACCTAAGTATTTCATGAAAGAATAAAGGGTAGACCTTGCTGACATATAAGTGAATATAATCAAAAGACTAAAATGTTATTCAGAGTTATGGAATGTCTGATGCCTTTTTCCTACGAGGGAGTGTTTTTATTTCCCATTATGTAACCTAAAGAAAATACTACAAATTCATAAAGCTGTTCTATTTTCAACAACTTAGCATCCTTGAATGTTTTTTTTAATCATTTTATAAAAGCATTTCCTTGTTCCTTTTCATAACATTAAAAGATATTTTGCTCATAAGAATCCCACCTTACATCTAGGAGAGGAAGTGGGTGGTTGGAACTCACATGGTTTAATACCAACACCTTCAGGAATGCAGTGAAATGTTTACTCTGACTTTTTCTTCACATTTTTGGACACACGTGAATAATCTGGATAGGTAAAATGAGAAGGGAAGAAAGGGTCACGGACCGAATTTTGACGCGTATCATCTGTTACTTCTACACTGAAGTCATAACATTGCTCTGACAGCTGGGTGATTAGTGGAACTTTTAGCTGCCTCTGGCTCATTGTTCTGGGTGATGGTTATCCTGGAGTCCTGGGGGTGGAGTCAGCGGAGCCCATTTCCTCCACACCGAGAAAGGGCTGAATTTATCTGTGTTGACTTTCCACACATTTCATCACATTATTTAAGAGCCCATTACTTAATGGCTGAACATTCTTTAGCCCCTTTTGACTTTTCTTTTTTTTTTTTTTTGGTTGGTGGATTGGAAAAAAATCTGGATACGCATGCCAGGGATGGTTTGAAAGTATGCAGAGTTTTCTCTTTGACGTTCAATCATCTTGATAAGCTCGAACACAGACGCGTGAGTCCAGGATCGTGGTTTACGTTCCCTTGTTTTCCCCTGCTTTTCCCCTCAGGGAAGATGAGCCTGTCACGGAACGGCACGCTGGAGAAGGCCGTCTCTGAGCAGGCCCACCCGGGAACGCGCTCGCCCTCCCGGGCGGGGTCAGGGGTCGTGGTGCCGCCGCCCTACTCCCCCGCCGACGGCCCCCTGGAGCTGAGGGGCTCCCTGGACTGCTGGGCCTGCTCCGTGCTGGTCACCGCGCAGAACCTACTCATCGCCCTGGTCAACGGCGGTCTGGCCGGCGTGGTGTTCGGCATCATCCTCACCCCGGCCCTCGCCATGGTCGTGTTCGGCTTCCTCTGCCACTCCACAGTAAGGCTTTTTTGGCCAAAATACAGCAGTGAATTTGACTGTTTCCTTTAGCGAGGGGGGGGTGTATGGAGCCTGTCAATCAGACCGTCGTCTCGGAATGTCGGCGGCACTTTGCAGGGGGAAAGACAAATGTTTTTCCAGGGATTTGACACCGTTTCTCCAGACCATGCCAGAATCTTCCCGGGGCTTAGTCTAATTCTTTGCAGGTGTGGCTGAGAAATGTTTTGGAGTTTTTTTTTTTTCGAAGGATTTGGTCTCAATTCAGTCTTTGGGCTTCCTCCTCTTCCTCCCTCTTCCTCCCGTCCAGGTGCAGCCCCACGGAACGTCCCTGTACTGCTCCGACCTGCTGGACGACACGGCCTGCGTGGCCCTGCTGGTGGTGGGCTTCCTGCTGATGACCCCCCTGCTGGTCCTGGCGCTGGCCGCCTACTGCCGCCTGGCCCGCCACCTCCAGCTGGGCATGTGCTTCATCCCCTACAGCCGCGCCGTCTACAAGAACCTGCCCGCCGCCGCCAACCGCCGGGGGCCAGGGGCCAGGGGCTGCTGCGGTCAGCAGGGGCAAAAGGAGACCGATGGGAAGGGGAGTGTGTGGGTGTAGGACCAGAGAGGAGAGGAGTTTTGTACAGGCTTGTAATATGTAGTTTAGCGTCTTTTCTGGTGCCAACCAGCTTTGTATTTTTCTAACAGTCTTTGTTAAAGTCATCAGAATTCAATTTGTATTGTATGATCGTTTTGAATTGTTGGGTTATAATTGGATTGTCGGTGTCGGTCTTGTGTGTCTTTCAATGTATTGAATGTATTTTACACATTTTTACATTAAAATTACATTTTGCTTTCTCAGTTTTGAGTGTTACACAGAAACCAGAAACGTGATAAAAACCCTATAACCGTCTTTGAGTGACAGAATGAGAGAAGATCCTATCTATTTCCTTCATAGACAACCTATTTAAAGTTGTCTCTGAACGACACTGAAAGTTAAATGTTACGTTCAAGCTTTATGTTTGCATTAATAGTAGTGCCCTATGAATGGTATTGTCTTTAAAGAGTGAAATATTTCACTTTATGTTGCAGCAAAGTAGACGTTTAAGGTATCACGGAATAGAGGTACTCACATAAAGTACAAGTAGCTAACCTGTTCACAGAGTTGTGCAGACCGTAGTATCATGGTGCGCTCACTCTTCTGCTGACAACTGAGTGGATGATTTTAGTGTCGGAGCAAAGATTTGTTGTCGTTACTGATGGTATAGATTTGAATGCGCTGGAGTCCCATTATCCATCACCATACTCTGGTGTTCTGCTGACTCGTTACTTCTCTTTTTTTTACTGTAGTTACTTCAGAAAATGTTTTTGGTGTTGTACCTCTTTAAATTCAAAAGGATTTATAAAAAAGATTAAGAATAAAAATCATAGCTTTGTACGTGCCATTATAAATAAACCATACCAGGTTGATAGATACTCTGTTACTGTATTATAGTTTACTGTAATTACATAGTTTTGTTTGTTTTTTACTGAAGACAAATACAGACATCAAGAACACTGAGGGTGGCCATGTGGAATAAAAATAACTGTTCATAATATATTTGTAATATGATACATATTTTGCATGCCTGACATTTTTATTGGTGGATGGTTTTCAGTGACACATGTCTATACGTAGAAATGTATATATATATAGGAGTAGTAGGAGAATATTTGGCTCACTCCAAGGGGAATACAATGTGGACACCTATCACAAAAACAACTTTCTAAAAAACTGATTAACTATTCCAGTATAGCTCTCAAGCTCCTCCTGGGGGAAAAGAAGAGGAAGTAAAACGTATCCTCATAGCTCACTGTAAATAAGTTCTGATCATATTCAGTAAGCATCCTATTTAATATTGTCTCCTTTACGCTCAGCCAAAAAAAACAAAACAAACTCCAATCACCAAGCCTCATCTCATTACTTTGTGCTTTGACTCCTCTGATCCACAAGGTGGAGACATCACTCATATTATCAAAAAGGTGTGCAGTCAGGCCTTTTCAAAGAGATATAAAACCTTTATTCATATATAAATTACAAACATAAGGTTTGGCAGGTGCTAGTATAAAACAATACGATTCCTTTAAACTGTGTATACAAATGGAATTACATTTCTGTGTGGTATTTTGCTTTGAGAGGTCCATAGGTCAAATGTGTAGTCTGGATTTGTTTGTGATGGTGTAGTCCCTAATTCTTTGTGTGAGGTTAACAAGGTTGGTCGTTGATTTTCGCCAGTAATTTGTGGTGCGCGGCTTTGTATGGAGCAGTGAAAACACCGGGCTGCAAGGTCCCACGTCCATCTTCGTCCACCTGGCCCATGATGATGAAGTTACCACCTGTTGGAGAGGAAACGACCACGCACAGCGGTCAGGTTTGTTCTCTTGAGGAATCTTAAACGTCGACACTGTAAAGTGTGAATTAATAGAATTAAATCATACCTCTGCGAAGCAACGGGCACTTCTTACACTGAGACACCAGCTTGACTGCCATGGTCTCTCCTACTTGTGTGATGGTCAAACGTCCTGCCTTGTAGGCCTTGATGAGGGATATGTTGATGTTTAGACTGCCTCGGGGCCCGGCAGTCATGGAGGAAATTTTCCCGGTTATCACTGGCAGAAGGAGTGCTTGGTTAGAAAGCAGCATTGGGGGGTGGGGGGCTACCAGTGTGTGCATACAAAGGGAACAGAAGACCTACCGAATTCACTGGAACAGAAGCTCTTCTTGATGGTTCCGTCTCTTTTACAGGCTTTGGCACACAGTGGATTTTGAGGAACTAGAAGTATAAAGAGGGACATAACAGTGCATTAAAACCTGTTTGGGTCACTCCCGACATACACACACAAGCTTTTACCCACCAGGCCTCTCTCCGTTTGGCCTCGGGACGGTCACCCTCCTGTCCTGGGTTGTAGTGCCCTGACCTCGGGTCCTCGTGGGCTTGACCACTCTAGGCCTTTCTGTGGGGTTCAGAGGAGCAGGTTGTGGTTTCGGGGGGGCGGGGGCGGCAGTCGGCCGTGCAGGAGGTTTGACCGCAGGTTCTGAGGGGATGGATCTGGTACCGGCCGCCGAACCGACTGTAGGTGGCTGGGAACCGCGCGGGATGCTGGTATACTGGGCGAGGAATCCATCAGACGTCACACTGAGGTCGGACACAAACTGGACCAGCAGCACGTTACTGTTGGAGATGATGGGTCTGGAAAAGAGGGATTTTTTTTCAATCAAACATTAAAAAACAATTGTGTGAGAGAAGAATATCTTCTTATTTTTAGAATAACTGTATAGATTTTGACATTTCTTACAGCGGAGGCTGATCGCCGCAGTATTTTCCAATCAGTCGAGAATCGTCTTTCTCTCCACCGTTAAAGAACGCCACATAGTCGAACCGACAGTAGCTGTCGGCCTCCAACACAAACTTGTCAAACGTCACCTTTATTACCTGGATTTCAGATAGAAAGAGACACAGAATATGCTTTTAACAGATTCCAGGAGGTCCTAGTCTGTCAGATGGGGCTGGAAATGAGTTAGCCTTCGTCACCGACTCTGTCCGGCTCCACCGTGATGAGCCAGGAGCAGCTGGTTCCTGGTGGGTACTTCTTGTCGGGCCAGTTGGGCGTTTTGATCTCTCCTTGGGATTTCGTCATCTTTCCCCCACAGAACAGGTCGTCTGAAAAAAGACAAACCAAGTCCAGGAGTTAAACATGTCTCTCCGTGACCTTTTGAATTCAAAATTGTCAATAAATTGCAGAGTCAGCAGCTGCCTTTCCTAATCCTCTCAACCTCTTGAAGTTCCGCCACCCCCAGATGTCCAGTTCCCTTCATTTGCCATTGTAGAAAAGCAACTTAAAACAACAACGCTTTGGTTTGGAAGAATTTGCCCACTTTTGCTTTAAAGGTGACACGCTCTCCAGAATGAAAGGATTTTTATTTAGTTTGACATTTCCATGTGACAAAGGATCATTAAAACATTCATGTGGACTTTTTATAATAGTTAATTACATCTCCAAGATGTCACACTTATGTGGTTTGTGTGTCTTTTAAATCATTTCATGTTTACTGACTGTTTACTGCATGATTTTCCATGATCCAGGTCAGACAGAAGAGGGGTGACAGGAAATCTGGGGCGGCAGCAGTGGAACTAGTGATAACAGTTCATTGCTGTCACATGAACACCCCGCCTCTGTGCACTGACTTCATTTACAGCTTTATGCACCATTGATAAGCTTTCTGAAATTTCAGGCATTTTCTTCCTGGTCTCTCAGAAAAAGAAAAAAAAACTTGTTAAATGACTTCAACCCAAGCACCCAGAGGTATGGAGCAAATGTGATATTGATCAGATAATCAGCAGGAAAGCAGCTCAGTGAATACAGGAAGTGAGTGGAGAACCGAGGGCAGCTAAAATAGAGAGGATGATGTGGCCCAAGAGGCAGGCTGAGACATGACAGAAGAGGAATGTGGTCAAATTCATCATGAAAAAGTCACGTCTGGGTCTACACTTCCTGTCTTTGCCTGTTTCCTGCCATTGTGATTACCTGCCTTGACCTTATCTGTGTCACCTCTGCGGTCTCTCAGTGTGTGTACTCTTTAAAATGACCCTTTAAAAGTAACTCTTCATCCAAACCCGTGTTGGAATCCTCACACTGGCTGTTCCCTTTCCTTTTCCTCTCTGCGTTCAAGTCCTGCATCTGCATTCTGCACCTGGACAAAGCCGAGTCTGTTCTCTTCAAACTGCACGCAGGTCAACATTTAGCATTGAACCATTGCTGGTGCATCCGGCAGTCCATCTTCCCCTGACTGTGTTATGAGGTCAATAACAGAATACGATGCTCAGAGTCGAGGAGAAATACAACGAGCAGAAAGGTAATCTGGATATTTTTGTCGAGCAACTCCTGCGGGGCCCCAGCCCACAAAGGACTCCCATGCAGAAACAAAAGCCACCATTACCAATGTGCAAATGGTCTCTGGAGCCCTTTTCGTAACTAGTCCCACTGATCACTCTGTTCTACGGCTTTAGACTAAGTGTTGGATTGGGAAATCCCATTTACATCTGAACGATTTAAATTTACAATGTTTTTATTAAAGAAAACAATGTGGGAGGGGGTTTTAAGTTTAAATAATAAATGTGTTGTTTTTTATTCGTTATTCACAATTGTACACAGAAATGAATGTCAGAGGTCAGATTAGTTTATGAGATTTTCCTTCTTAATTATCTGCTTAATGTAGTTCATTCAGATCAAGAGAGATTTTAACGTGACAGCCAGGAAATGAACTGATTGTTCCGAGTGAATGCTTTAACACATTAAAGCAATAGATAAATTACTGGGTCACATATTGTTTCTTTTTTTTCCCACTGGTTCAAATAAAGTGTTGCTGCACTTACTCATCTTTTAGTTTGCCGACATAAAAAGGGCTAAATTGAACATAGCACACTTAAATATGACAGCTGTAATCATGAGCTTCAAACCGCTATTAATTATAATTACTGAGCATGTATTCAGTACTGTTTTATGGTGTTCACAATGGAGCTCTGCTGTAGATGTGACATGACAGTCTCTCAGAATGTGACCACCTACCATTAACGTAAGGTTTGGTTCCGCTGAAATAAGCCACAAATCCTCTGCTCTGCGTCTCTTCGTCAGTCACCATCTCCAGCATCATGGTGTTTGTGGTAGAAATCAGTGCACCGGGCCGGAAAGTTCCGCAAAACCGACCAAGTTTTTGCACCAGATTGGTATGGCCGTTATAAACATCAACATAGTCGTAGAGGCATTGCGCATGGGCCTCCAGGTCAAAAATGCGGAATGACAGGGTGACCACATTTCCTTCAGGAACCTGGAAAACAGAGAGACGTATGTCGACCAGAAACAGCAAACGGCATTTGGACATGGCGTTTGGACATGCTCCGGGCAAAGGGACTCACTGTGATGCGCCAGGTGCATTTGCTGTTGGGTTTGTAGAAGCTCGGGAACCCCTCACTGCCAACAAAGCCGGAGTCTGAGACCAGGTCTCCTCCACAGTGGAACACAGGCCTGTGATGAAGCAAACCTACAATGATATAACCCCACTGAGACCCTCCCAGATTATAATTTACAGCTTTTAACCACAGGGTTTTAGCCTTTAAATGTTGCTGTGACTATATGCTTATATTCCTAATTAAAGTCTTAGTTTCATAGCTTTAAAACATAAACAAATAAATGACAGAGCGCTTTATTAGAGTGCTACGCCCTTAGCATCATCTTTACAGCTGTCCCAAGAACATAAACAGATTAATTTGATTTGGCATGAACATTACTGTTTACTTGTCCTCATTCATCTCGGTCAAACGGTAATAAAGCACTGAAATGCAATCAAAATGTAATCTCAACAGCATGCATTGTGAAGATATGGAGATCCAGAGACTTCCGTTTGAAATGATGAAACATACAATAGATTTTCTTTTTAATGATCACCATGAGATATAAAAAAAAAAAATCATTTAGTCACGTTTTTCCAGATACCAAACTTTATTGATTTATTTCTTTTTCTTTTTGTAGTGTGTGGAAATCTAACGGGTGATTTGAAAACATGTAGTGTTTTAACTGCTGGAAGAAAAAGAGTACTGTGCTCTGTTTGCTGTTTTACTGCTTTAATAGCAGCAGACTGAATGCCATATAAACTGGCATCGTGAAATAAACTCGCTCTTGGACAGGGACAGTTTTTGTATATAAAAATCTTAATGCTATGGTGATTCATATTTTACAGCTGGAAAGGGATCCATAAGAGTATAGGAACTGCACACGTGGAATAATAGTTTGGCTATTGTTCTTTCCTATAAGAAGTGAAGGTTTAGAACAAACTATTCACACAATAATATCTTTCTTAAGAACTGATGTGACTTGCATTGCTCAGAAAACCACAGGGAGGCAATGGAACAGCTCCCTTTTTAACCTCTGCTTACAAATGTAACAAACCGCTGTTTGAAACCACACACAGTCCAATTGCTTATTTGGGCAAAACAAAATTAAATAAACTGTGAGCACGGAGCCATATTTTCATGTTAGGGTATAAAACACAAAGTACAGGTATGGCAATTATGAGGTGGTTTCTTTCTTAAATCAAGAGGAATTGAAGAAAAGTGAACCCAATAGATTTTAAGTAATGGGTGGAGATCACTGGTGGATGTAAATAAGAGGAAACTGAGTGATTCTCTTTTAAACCGTTTTAGAATCAAGGCACCCTGCTGACATGTCTCCTTCAAAGAGTAAAGGCACAGACTGGACTTTGGATAAACTCATGCTTGGTTCTTTAAGTCTGGGGCTCTTTTTGGATTTGGCAGTGTGCACCCCCCACATTAGATATGAGGCAACTGCATTTCTGTGTAATCAAGAGCTGTTGTAATCATTATAACAACAAGCTCAGTTGAATAAACGATGATTTCACAGTTCAGTACAAACCCATACAGTTAAATACAGAGTTTGTGACTGTCTTATAGTTTGACTTGTCGTGTCCTAAGTTTACAGCAGATTACACATGTTTATTCATCAAGTTTGAAAACGTTTTTCAACTGTTTTTTAATTTAAATTATTGTAACGATATGGCAGACCGAATAAAAGAGAAATTCAAATCTGCAATAACAGAATAGCTTGTTTCACAGCTGACAGACAACTGGAAATAGATCATGTCACAAATTCAGCTGCTTCCCACAGCACTGACAGCAATGAAGCTCATAGCTCGTTCTAAAGAATGGAAGAATTTCCTATTTGGGGTTTTTGCCAGCGTTGATACATGAGGCCATTTGTAAACTGATAAGTCAAGAAGAGCATGCCATGTCTGATTGAGTCCTGTTTCAGCTGTGGGTATTTTCTCACATGCGAAAACTGAGAGTCTTTAAAATGCTCCCATATTTTAAGAAGAATGAACAATGTGTTTGCTTACACATTCCGGTGAAATGAGCGCAGTTTCAGGAACAAAACAAAACAGAACAATGTGGACAATGGATGTAATGGAAAGAGAAAGTTTTCCTGTAAATAAAAGCAGCGCCATGAGGAACCCCACAATCGTCAGATGGCCGCTGATTAAAGCTAATATGTCCAGAGCCAGAGCCAAGTTTCTCTGATCTGACCCCACAGGCAGAACCAAAAGCAATAACATCTGCGCCGGCTGAGCCACTGCAGACTCAGCGTGCCTCATAACAGGAGCCAAAAACCATTAGGACAAATCTGTGCCCAGTCAAACAGGAAAGAATGTGCTTACAGAGATTGGAAAGAATCAGAAAAGTCTTTCCATCCTAAAGCTGCAAAAGCCCTCTCACCTAAATTGATCTTTGGGCACATTCAAATCCAAAATGTCTACAAAATTGAACAAATGAGGACTACACTTCCAAAGGATAGCCTTCAGATCGGTGACCTTACCTGGTGTAATTGGTCTGCTGAGCCTTTGTCCATCCCAAAGTCAGACATAGGAAAAAAAGGAGCCCCCAGAAGGCGCCTGAATGCATCATGATTCAGTGTGAGAGGAAATCCAAGCGGACCACTGCAGGCAAGAGAAATGGTATGAGGACACAAGAGGTGAGAGAAAAGGGGAGGAGGAGGTGGAGGAGGCTGTTCGTTCAGGGTGGGCGGAGAGATGAATGAGTGGGGACGAATGAGAGAGAGGAAAGAATCGAAAATGGATGAAGACTGGGGCAAAGATGCTGAAAGGACACCAGGAGTGAGACAGAGCCATGAGGGGGATGACGTGACCATGGGAGGAGGGAGGAGAGGATTTTAATCAAACCCAGATGTTTCCTCAAGAATAACCCCGGCTTGACTGTATGTGGGGGGTATCTAGGAAAATCAGGCAGGAGGTTTATCTGTAGTACGTTTACGAGCCCCTCTCTTGTCTGAGGATGTCTGGTTCTTTAAATGATTTAGAAGCCTAAGCTAAACAAAACTTGTGCTGGTTGGAACAGCCATTAACCCCATCCTGGGTCTGGTTGGTCATTACACAGAATGCACAGGTGGAGGCAGAGCCTGAGGCTTTGAACGCTTCCTGCAAGAGGAGCCATAAATCTTTGCATTCCACGGCAGACTAAAGGTGAGACCTTTACTTCACCAAAAGAGTGATGTTTTTCCTCATTAAAATCAATAACTTCAGCCATCTAGTTTATACAATCACAGTAGGGGATCCTGACCGTCTCCTTTGGGAGCTCTAAAGTATAATAAACCCAACCATCTCTTCCCTCTTAACATATTTCCATAAGCCCTAGAAGTTTCTTTGGCTCTGCACCACTCAGTCACAGTGACTGTTTGCCCCCGCAATCCACCAAGGCAAGAATAACACTCAAAGGGGGGGAGTATTCTTTCTCTGTAAAGATTTGGTGATGAGCCAACCCTCTGGCCTACATAACTGAGGCCTGTTGAGGGATAGTGTTTCGATAATGCTGTAAAATCTGCCACTTCTTCAGACTACAGAGGTCAACCACCTTGATCAAAGTCAGCGGGAAGCAGGATGGACAGGCTGGAAGAGAACAAAGCAGTTACCACAGAGAGACCAAATCTTTTCTTTCTTTTCTTTACAGTGAAATGACTTTTAGAATTCCAGTTTGTTCGGGATAGCTTCCGGTCAGAAGTAAAACAACTCTGGTTCTCTTTGGGAGCTGGTCCTACTGTGTTGTATTTCTGCTGACCCAAAGTCTTGATGTGAGTCAGAAGGAATGCAGCCAAGTTCTGGAGTTAGCTTAGGGGTAGGGGGGTGAACTTCATCTCAGTATAGACAACTGTGGACATCACGGCTGGGAGTAAGAGTGACCTTTTCACTTAGCAGTAATCGAAGCCAAGAGTGTGGCTATCTGCAATAAGTTCCGACGAAACCTTCAAGCTGGGTCTGAATTCCTTCATGTGAATTTGAAATGGAGAGTGGCGGGGGAGTAAATGAGTGTTGTAAAACATGAGTGAGGGAGGAGAGAAGAGGTTGCTGAGGTCAGAGAAATGGAAAACAACCTGAAAACTGTCTTAGAAAAAAAGCTTGGAGTAAAGGGGGGGGGGGGTCTCTGTGAGCCAACGCATGCCTGATGTTGCTTCACAGGTCTCCTCTGGCCGATCGCTCTCCCATCATGTGAGGGTATCTGCCGGAGATGGAAAAATGGCTCAGCATGAATGCATGCGGTGGAGTGAGTCTATCTGAGATTGGGTTTGGCCCAAACTGATCACTTAGTCACAACTGCAGACACATCTGCACTCTGTAATTGTGGTTTGAAATCCATGCTGTTTAGTTTATAAAAAAACAGGATTCTTTTCATGCCATGATGCGCAGTGAGGCCATTTTCAGGTATAAATGGAAACACATGCACAACGGCTAAGAAGACAGAAATCGTCATTCCTTGCAGCAAATGAGGCAACAACAGTAATACATTTTCTTTGAAAGACTCTATAATACACAAGGAAATACTGATCACCCAGTTGGTGAAGACAAAACGTTCCAAAGAACAGACAAACAGGCGGAAAATCTGGAGTCAAACAGATGGAGATTTGAAATGGTTGGATTGTGATGTCCAATCAGCAAATCATCAGCTGTGACTCTGAAGGCTGGCTGGCAGCTTTGTGTGGGTCCATCCCAGACCAGCTGCTGCCACCAGGTGACATCTGCTGGCCAAAACGCAACACTGTCTCTTGAGCCCATGACAGCTCTATCACCAGAGCACGATGTTTTGTTCAGATACATTCAGTCTGTTTTCAGCTGTCAGTGTCACTGTGAAATTGATTGGATTACGCATGGGGGGATGTCCATCCACGTTTAGGAGCACTTTTAATATTGAAAGTATACTTACTTTTCAGTAGACACTTTAAATTGTCAAATCTCTATTGATGTTATTTCCCATTTTAGAGCAATATTGAAGTGCTGTCTTTTTCCTGGTAACAGTTTAATCTCAGAGTGAAACTATTTTGTCTCAAAATGCAAACAAATTGGAAAATGTACCATTAATATATAGACCATCATATCTGTGAGTATACCAGCTTCTCAGAGAGAACCATAAAAATCAACAGTCTTATTGTCTGTTTCAGATGTTTTATCTGAATTGAACTGTGTTCAATTTCAAATCTTGTGTTTTCACATATCAATTTAACTATGGATAGAAAGAGGACCTTCTCATTATACAATATAAATCCAAGTTGAAGGGACTAAAAATGGGGTACCAAGGACAGCAGGCCCATGCTGGAGATGTAATGGAGATTATATCTGGGGATGGGTGGTTAAGAGCGGGCTCTGCAGGTTCAGCTGGTGAGCCAGGTATTGATGAGCTCACCTGGAAAGTGATAATGCCACCAGAGAGAACATAAAGCCCCCCATTTCTATACCAGGGTAGAGGAAAGGCTGAAGTCCTCTGACTTGTGTTGACATTGCTGACCATGTTGACTATCTTCAAGTAGATTGAGGAAAGATAGATTTTTCATTTATTACTGTGCCTCACATGGTACATCACGAGCTCCTCAGGGTGGAGGGACAATCCTAAAACCTAGCATAGATTGACATAAATTACCTCCATCACCCCTCTCACGAACCATTTCAATTCCATTCAATGATACAACTATGCCCCCTGCTGACATAAACTTAGGGCTACATGCATCTCCCAAGAAAAGTCTCTTTTGCTGTCAGTTTTAGTGCTTTGTTCGAAAAAAGCAGCTCACCTTTGCTGAGCCAACAGCAGCATCCTCAACGGGTACTTGCAGTTTTTTTGTTGAAACTGTTTCATGACATTCAGACGTTGTAACTGTAAATTATCTACAGCAAAAACCGACTAAAACGTAGTAATAGTATGTTTTCTGCTGTAAAAACCGGCTATGCATAAGTTATCATATTGGAAAAACAATTTTCTCTTGCTAAACCCATTATTACTGCTACTGACAAATGGTTCTGAAAAAAAAAGTAAAACACCAAAAGGCTGGTGATCCAGCTGGGCCTAAGGCACTCTAGTGAAAATAAGAATTCAAAATTTGGATATTGATCTTTCTGAAAAAAAATTAACAAACAGCAATAACTCACTTTTGTTTTGATCATTGAATTCCTCCTGTTTTTCTATACTGACGAAAGTGACCCTGTGCCTTTATTTAAATCTGATAAGAAATCTTTTGGTTTATGACCTGAAACGTTATAAAGAAAAGTGGTTGACTCTCTTTATTTACTTGATTTATATTGAGTTATTCTCATACATCATCAATTTATCTTTCACTGCATGATAATGAGTCATCGTTTTCCACCATTCATCTTGAGTTCCAAAAGTACCTTGTTTTTCCCAGCAAATGCTTGTTTGCTTGAAGCCAACAAGCATTTCCAAAACCTTAAATGCTATATATATACATCACTCTGTGAGAATAAAGCACTTTTACATATTCATTTTAGAAAAATATATGCCATTTATCTTTGTCTGTCTCCAGATTATTCAATTGAAATATTTCATGTTTTATGCACACCGAAATTAAATCAAGTCATATTATGTGCTAATCAGCTTCATTTGAGCTTAAATGAGTCCGAACTGAAGTCATGTTACACCTGCACAGAAGCAATTTTTTACATATATATGGATATTTTGTTCAGCGGCATATAAAATAAAATAATTTTAACTTGTGTGTAAATGTATTCTTTTGTAGGGGTGAAAAAAAAAAGACATACACCAAAACCTTAGCTTTCACCTTTTATTAGGTCATATGAAGAACAGTTTGGTCACTGAATTTGAAACCAGCAAGAACAACTTTTCATGTTGTAAATTGTTATTCACTTTATACTGATATGGAATCATGAATTTTATTGCCCCCCCCTCAGACGCAGGACCAGGTGGAGGGTGGACTCCTTTTGGATGTTGTAGTCGGAGAGCGTGCGGCCATCTTCCAGCTGCTTGCC